CTAGTTAAATATTTCATTTTCTCATTCACTAAATATTACTCTAACAGCTTTTTATGAAAATAATTTTTGAACCAGTGTTTGAAAAATGCTAAAAGTGTAACTGTTTCTAAAATATTTTGTTACCAATTATTTAAAAAATAATGCATTGGTCTAATAAAGAAGTTTCAGTGGCTGATGCTTTTATCTTGAATTAAAAGTCTAAATCATTAAATAAACACATAATTTAGTTGCCATGCACTGATTCTCCCTGGGTCACTGCAGCATTAATGTTAGAAAATTTTTGCTTTGAGTTTTTTAGAGACGCAAACTTGCTCCAATGTAAATTCATTGTTTTGGATTGCATTGGTGGCATATGAGATTGGAAGAACTCATATGGATCAATTAAGCCTTCAGGAATCATAGAATTGCTCAGGTTGGAAATGATCATCAAGTCCAAGGGCAACCTAACCATACTACCCTAACTCTAACAACGCTCCACTAAATCATGTCATGAACATGGAACAGACATTTAAGCCAGAAATACTGTAGATCTTCCACAGGTACAACATATTACAAAACCTTGCTAGTGCTCTTTAAGTTCTGCTGTGCTAAAAACAAACAACCAAGCAAAAAAAAATGCACAACTATAAACTGCTACAGATGATAGGAAAAATATGCCGTAAATTCCTGGGATGGGAAGGAGTTTTGGTAGGTAAAGTTCCCAGCTGATACTAGGAAGAGGACCACTACAGAACAAAAGAAGTCCTACATAAAATGACCAAGCAAATAACTCTTTGTGACTCTAAATCTGGTGACTAAAGATGAGAAGACAATAGCATGCTGACCTGTGAGTGGTGCTACCAGGAGAACCAAGCCATATTGTCCCTGCTGTCTATACCCCTTCTAGAGAAAGTAATAATGAAATGCAACCAGAAGCCAAGTAATTCCCGGGAAAGGGAAAAAAAAAAAAACACCTTTATTCTGCTGCACAATTAAATCCACTGAAGCACAGAACTTAAATGGCTCAAAATTGTGCAGAGAAAATCCTGCAGCCCAGTCTTTTTTGAAAGTTTCCAGAAAAAAAATGGGCATCTCTCTCACAGGTAAAGATTCACTTCACAAGTTAAATTCTGTTCTGAATTTTCATATTTTTCATATTTTCATATTTTTCAAAGCTTGGCAATGCTTTTCTGGGCTTCTCAAGAACCAAATGCACTTTTATTTTTTATTTTGCTAAGCTGGTTTATTTTATAATATTATATATTTTAAGGGGAAAACAGCAGTGATGTATGTAGGTTGCTCTGAAAGTAATGCCTCCTATTTATTTGCATGGAAACAACAGATACAAAGCACAATAACACTACTTGATGGAGCAGATTTTCAGCTACAAAACACTGCTTTTCAACATAGTCATCACCAGTAACCATGCATTTACTCCAGCAATGAATGGAAGCCTGCATGCTTTACTCATAAAAATCTGCACCAGTGGAGGTGGCCCACTGTTTCACAGCTCCTATGATAGCACTCTTGCTAGGAAAATACTGCCCACATAGTCCATCTTTCATTGGCCCAAACAGATGGATGTCAGAAAGCACCAAGTCTGGACTATATGGTAGGTCTATTAGAACAGTTCAGTTACATTTGGCAATTTGCTCCACAGTCTTGAAACTGATTACAGGGCCTCGTATTATCATGTCACAAGAGAAAGGTTGTCTTCTCTGGCCTGACTTCACATTACTCAGTGTAGCGATGTAGCAATCAGAATTGATGGTTTGTCCAGGTTCCTGAAAATCCAGAAGGATTGCCCCTTTCCTATCCCAAAGGTCAGCACACATCACTTACCCCACTGAGGGCTGCATCTTGAACTTCTCCTTTCATGAGAAATTCACGTCACCACTCCATGGACTGCTGTTCTGACTAAGGCTCATAGTGGTGACACCACATCTCACTACTGGTTACGATGCAATCCAGGAAATTGTCAGCTTTGTACTGATTCACAAGCTCCTGACAAACTTGCATACGGTGTTCCTTCTGTTCCTTTATGGGACCCACATCATGCAAAATTTGCAATATTTCAACATTGCCACCATCATTTCCAATGCACTGAAGACAATACTCAGCTCCATCTGCTGTGGATGAGCTGAATCAAGACACTCTTCATTCTGTGGTATAACAGTTATGTGTGGCTGTCCAGACCATGGTTTGTCTTTCATGGCACTGGTGCTGATGCTGAAATGCACCTCCCATCACCTCACTGTGCTCATATCCACTGTTTGGTCTTTACAAACATTCAGCAAGCATCAATAAATGTCAATGGATGCCATGTTTTTCCACGTGGAGGAATTCAATGGCACACTTTTCCCTCACACACGCTTCCATGTCAGACACCATTTGGCAGACTGCCCCTCTGCTGCCATTTGTCAGACACCAACAACACATCATGGGATACTGGTGGGAAGGTTCAACCTCTGCTGCCATACCATCACAATCTGCCTCTGATCTCCTGGGCCAGCATAATAAAATATGAGACATTGTTTTCATGGCGGCCCTTGTACAATGTCAATCAGTCAAATGGCTTGAAGTATATTTTCATAAAAATTTGAATTCATTTTGTGTTTCTTACTGAAATATAACTTGGTAAGACTGAATTTATAAAACAGTATCTATGCTTTGTTACACAACTAATTAAAAAAAATCCTCCAAAAATTCATGGGCAAATTCTTGCTCAATTGCACTGTTATAAATCCCAGAACTAATCTCAAGAAAGGTGAGTTAACAGAGTTTACACAGCCAATTGCCTTTGTTTTAAATTTTTGCATGTTATGAGCTTACGTTTTTGTTACTGCGTTTATCTGATTCTGTTCCATTGATTATATCTCCTAGCGTGCTCTTATGTAAAAATACAAAACTGACATAACTAATAAGATACAGATAAATATTTGATACACATAATACTCATCATAGTTCAAGAACTATGTATGTATTCTCTCCTCCCTTTTCAGCACTAATGATCGGCCATGACAGCATATGATGCATACTACTGAATAAACCGGGATAAGAACAGTTTTGTTTTTCAAAATCAAGTGGTCTGTCATGGCTTGCATATACACAGAAATGAGCATTGAAAAGTTTGACTGTTGAAGCAACACATGGGAGAGGCCCTCAGCCCATGTGAACCCCAATAGTACCTTGGGTTACTACATGTTGGCCTAACCCAAATCATGCCAAGAGCTATATGCACGACATAAGAGTATGGATGATCACTTGCAAATTCTCAGGGCTCTTCTCTGGCCCTGTTCAGTTTATATTGTGGACATTGCCTGTGGCTTGGTCCAATTCCATTACGTCAACAAAGTCAATGTGGTCGCTCCTGCAAGTGTTAGACTTGGCCTTAGGCACATAATTTTATTAACATCCAGAAAATTACAACATAAGCAAAAATAACCCCAAAGAAAAACAAAAAAATAGAAACTTGAAAATGAAACATATGCTTGCAGATTCAGTGCAAAAGCAAACTGAAGCAGAAGTTGCTAATATGGTTTTAGTACTTTGTGAAGGTGCCAGCTGGATGGATGATAATTTTTCTACCCCTGCAGGGCATCAAAGCTTTTATAAAATCATTCTTTTCACACATATTAGCACTTAGCTTATTAAAACAGATGATACTTTTTTTTTTTTTTTTTCTTTTTTTTCCTTAAAGCTGACTGGAAGTGTCTGGAAATATAAAATCTGAGAGATAAATCTCATTTTGACCACCCAGTCTAACAAACAACAAACACTGACATGACATACCATGGCTGAGAGTCTATGTTATGGGACCTTCTGTGACTGCCACAACTGTAGTGTCACAGTAAAGGCTGTGAATTGCTGTTATGAAAACATTTGCTGTAACTTGCATAATTAAATGAAACTGCCAGCAAAGCTTTCTAAAATACTTAGAAGATGACACACAAATAAATACATTTCAAAGTGTGTATTATGTTCCAGAATTTGTTTTGCAATGGATTGCACTGCACAGTGTCAAAGATAACTTATTTTGCTGCTTGATTTCCTATATAACAATATCATTGTCAAGTAAATTGATACAAGTTTATAATAAAATAGCTTTCAATTTAATGATATTTTAAATGTATGGTGTTTCAAATTTATTAAAAAGTAGAAGATACAATTTCAGCCACATACAAATTCTGCTTCAGGCAAATCAGAAAAGGAGACACTAGACATAAATTAGTGCTCATTAGCAGAAATGTATCTAAGAGTGTTGCAAATGGCCTTTTAGGAGAGCCTTGAAGAAAGAAAATTTTGGTAGAGTAGGTGACCGTTCCTAATGCAAAGGGAACACATCAACACTGAGGAATGGCTAGAGGGAAGCGGCTATAGGAGCTGATTTTGTGCAAAAATACAGGCTGGCTAACTATGTGCGAGCCTCAAAGATGAAGAGAATTATGCTGAACTTGCAGAAGCTGGATCAAAATTTTGAATAGAAGTTTGACAATTCAGTGAATGGTCAACTTAAAGTTCTTCAGAGTCTTAAAGTAAAAATAACAGTGAAATTTCTAAAAGTTGTTCCACGGAACTGTGTCAAATCCATAGATGCACATGGCATAACTGGCTTCTTTCTGTACATGAACATACAGAAATATATAAAAGCTCTTTATTCAGAGAAATTAACCCTGTGATAGAGTCCACAAATCACACTAATCAAATTCTCTCCATTAACACACTCAAAATCAAAAGATGGAATAAAATTAGACTAATCACATTGGAAAAATGTCTACGTTAGATAGCAATCTTCTACCATTTTTATTTCTGCCTTCTAGCACTTAAAATTTCCATGCATACAGTGTTTAAAGAAAGGCCACCCTTGTTAGCTGAAGACAGTAAATAAAATAAAAAGCAAAGGAAAAAAAACGATCAACAGGGAAGAACATCTTAATGGCTTGCTGAATATCATCAAAATGCAGCTTATTCCCTCTAGTGTAGTAGTGATACCAGCAAAGCTTGCAAGGGTAGTTACTTACGTCAAACAGCTTCTCTATATACATTTCCTCATTGACCTTTTCTCGAAGTATATCCTGGTTCTGTCGAACAAACATGATGTAGGTATCTGCTAAATCCATCCCTGGTTTCTGTGGAAACATAAAGCAAAGAGATAGAGTTGTGGGGAAGGGAAAGACCATGCAACAGCTGAGACATAAGAAGTCTTATACTCAGTCTTAAAGTCTCATACTTCGTTTTAATGAAAACTGAGATTATGTTAGAATGTTTCCATATGTATTGACAGCATTTAGTAAATCTGCTATGAATTTTGAGTTAGCAAGTTCAGAAGGGTTCACTTTTCATTACAATTTATGAATGCTTGGAGTCATAAATCGGCTCTGCAATATGTGATCCAAGAAGGAAGTCTTGGTTCTTGTAACATCAATGGCAAACTAGGACATTTTCCCCTTTGTCTTTAGCAAGTCTACCACAACTACCCCATCTTCCTGGTCCAGACCCTGCTACCATCACACTCAGAAAAGGGTTAAAAAATGTCAAGCAGTTCCTTTCTCATTCAGTCAGTTTTGTTGCCATTTGCGTTCAACATACAGCTGAACTTTGTGTTTGAGGTTAGCTTCTATTAATTCTCATTCAAAGTTCAAGCATTTCACTAAAAGCAAATGATTAGATTGGCACAAAAACATTAGGTTGAGAGTAGACCTGTAGCCCCATTTTACTGAAACAGAGGCACAGTCAGCTCAGAGAATGACTAGGAAACAGGAAAGGACTAAAATATTTCCCTTCTTGCACCAATCCATGTTCTGCAGGAATGCTGGAGTAGGCACAATTTTAATACCATACTCTTAAACAGGTCAGGAAAGGCTGCCCAAATGCCAAGTCTGCTAGGTGGTTACTGTAGCTGTGTTTTCCTGCCCAACTGGGACTTCTGGACCTCTCTGTGCACAAAATGTTATTTCACCTAAACCCTCACCCTGTCAGCCTGTAATGGTCTCTTTCCTGGTAGCACACACAGAGTGGGTCTGAATTCACTGTTCTCTATAGGAGGAACCAAGGACAAACACAAGCACTTTGGAAAGACTTACATGTCAGCAAGTTGGTAAAAGTATATGTTGCTCCTGCATAACAGCTTTTGTTGTTGCTTGTTTTCTCAGTTCACGGCACGCAAATGTAAGCTAAGTTTTATAACAAATGTCTCTGCAGTAATCTTTAGCACAATATGTTTTATAAAGGATTTGGAATGACGGCCTGGTTTAACGATTCTAGCATCTCCAAATCTCACACCCAACAATTCAACGCTTTGTGCATTTATATTGATAATTTCATTTAAAAATCTTACCATGTACGTGTAGCTACCAACATGAAACTCTTAAGAGGTAACTGAGACAATTTATATTTACAGCTGAATTACAAAACCCCGATCATAAGCACAGAAATAAAAATGTACAATGACAACAGATAAAACAACTGTTAGAGATAAATGGATTTCATTCATTAAAAAAAAAAAAAAAGTGCCTTTTTCTCTAAAAGTTGGCAGAGATGTTTCTAAATGCAACTAAATCGAAATGAAGATGTATAACTGGAAGTTACACAGAGTCCCTTAAGATACTCATTCGTGAAAGTACAGAAGAAAGCCAACAGTTAAAACACCATAGGAAATTTACAGAAATTGGGCTAGTTTTAATTTGAAAAGAAAATGGGGAAATTCTCTGAAATTTCAGAGGTGGGTGAAGGAGATAATCTAATAACTGAAAGTTTTATTTATGGTTCTTGGAGATACATATTCAAATCTAAAATGAATCTTCCACTGAATGCTAAAACCTGCTGGTTCTCTGGTTCATGCATTTTTTTCCTTTAGTTCAATTCTTTTAGTAAATAAAACAATGTTTGTCTTGCAGACAGCTAAAGCTAGAAAAATAGCATTTCTCATCAGTGTTAACTCTCCCCTTATCTGTGAGCTGTTTACCTAGTCTCGAAGCTGTGACATATGGGAATTTCACACCTAGTGAATATATTTTCATGTATCTTGTGGCATGGGAGTGTAATCATTAAAAGAATATACACAAGTAAGAGTAACTGCAACAGCTGGTGACATTTACCAATTAGAATTACAGTTCTTTAAAACACTTCATCCTTCTTTAATGTGTGCAGGATAATTATCTTTGAAATCAATGTGGAAAAAAATTAATTTTCCCTTTAAACAGTGTCTTTCTACAGTAGAAATACGTCTGGGTAAGGAAGATTACCAATATTGCAACAGTATGACTTTCTCTTTTAAAAACTCACCAAAATCACTGCAAACTAACCATCTTTGCTTATGGTGTGTGAAACAGAATAAACATGGAATGAGCCAACATCATATCAAACTGTCTGTTATCTCTTTATACAGCATGCACTGAATTTCTTGTCTCTGAACACATGGAAGAGGAAAAGAAAGCTATATAAGCACCAAAGCACTAAAGCAGGTGTAGCACCATACTTTTTTTTTTTTTTTTTTTTTTTTTTTTTTCCATAGGGTTTACGTCTTAGAAACAAACCTCTGATTACAGGACCCTATCATTGCTCTATTTCATGTATTAAGCTTCAGAATAAAAGAAACAGGCGAACATACAATACCAACCATAATAAAAAACCAATTGGGTCTACCTTAAAATGCAAGCTCATACAAACTGAGATATATTTTAAGTAGCAGTCAGAGAGGACATCTAATTACAAATACCAGACAAACCTGAAGACTCCACTTCTGTGCTCAAAACATAGAATTTTACTCCCCTGTATGTCAGGCAGAGCATTTGCAGGAGCCAATGGGAGAAAGAGATTTTCACAGCTTTAGGAGAAAAATGTAGCCTGGTATATTTATCTGGGTAAGCGTAAAAAGGCATTCAGTCTGAAAACTTCCCCAAGGAAAAAAAAAAGTGTTTTTTTATGATGGATAAAAAGTTATTGTAGGTTTGTTTCATTCAGAACAAGCAGACAAGATGTTTTGCCTATCTGAAAATGAAAGAGAACCAAACAAAGAGATGAATGGAGAAACCAGAAGCACAAAGACATCAAATAAAATACCAGGAAATGAAGAGTTGTAAATAGGGTTACTTTGTCGCTGGTTACACAAGTAACTGAATACACCGGCAAGTGAATGAGTTTCAACAAGGGTGTAGCTTGGGCACATTCTTTTTTAGGGTTAATCACTAGTTAACCTGGTGAGATGAACATGCTGTTTGGGAAAAAAAAAATCCTTCTTAATTATATACTGCAAGTGCTCTTACTTCCTGCTGCTCCACCTAATCCCACAGGTGCGGGTTGTCTCTTCTGCTCTGCACTGGTGGGAGGGCCCAGATCACCACGCACTTTTTCACAGCAATGAATTTAGATAAAGGAGAAACAACTTTTCACCATTAAACAGAGAAACACTGTCATAATGTCTACATAAACTGAGGGAAATTTTAAAATACTTCATTCCCATTTCAAAGATTATGTAGAAACTCCATTAGGACTGACACGTGCTGGGGCCACTGGTGATGGGGTGTCTGGTCAAAAGTAATGCTGCACGGCTTTGAGTTCCACACATTCACTTGCTTCACTGTTGGAAGATTTGCAACAAGTTGAACACTGCCACTAGCATCAGCTTTTCCCTATAGCACAGATACACTTAAGTCTCTGCACAGGTTTTCACAATTTACCTGTTTGTCATGAATCTCAGTAAAAACCATGTAAGTACCCGCGTGGTGTTTATTCTCACTTCGGCATTTGTCACAGAACATTTCTTATCATCACAGAATTTTAAGCACACTCGGATTCTTGATATTACTCAGAAAAACGTAGCCTTACAGAGCTGCTACCCTGTCAAAGCATTCATTTTTCAAAGAGGAGAGCAGATGCTGAAGGCTAACTACGTAACAACTAACTTCTTCCTATTTTGTATGTGCTCTCCTCTCTGCCCCCTTCCCCTCCCCTGCTGGAGAGAGGCGTTTCATCTGCAGTGCGGGTGGAACAATGAAGTGAAAAGGAGTGATGAGCTGGAGGGGGCCATTGTGAGAAACATAGGAGCTCCTTATTAAGTGTCCACCACCTAATGAAAGAGCATGCTGGAAAATTTCACTCCTCTAAATACTCAAGGGTCATAACTCAAGCCTTTGAATCATAGAACAAAATATCACTAAAATATTTTTGGAATGAAAGCTACTTGTGTTCATGACTGGATCCTCACTCTTCATTTCTTACGTATCAAAATACCTACGCCATGAAGGAAAATGTGTACAATTAGTTCATTTTAAAGGCAGTATTTTATTCTTACATGGTTATGAAAAATACTATTTTGCTTAAATGAAAAAGATGTTATGCAGTTTCCTTGTAGCATCTTCTAGTAGATTAAAAAACAACCTTGGCAAAGGCTAAGCTGTGTATTTTATAAGAGAACAGTCATGCAGAACTTAAGCTGTGATTCTACAAGCGTTTACGCAAACACTTTTTCATATAAATTCAGTTCCACTGAAATCAAAGGGCAACACAGGCATTGGAGAGGGCTTGCACCCTGTTTGCAGATCTGTTGCAGATGTTTGCAATTCTGTGGTGCAAAAGATCTTCAATATGCTATAGCTACTATGACAAAATCTGATGACTCTGAAACTCTGCTTTCCCACTACCAACAAACAATTTTGCTCTATTATGTTATTTTAACTTTCTGATTAGCATTTGTTCTCCTGATCTCCATTTAACATATAGTTCAGAAACACCACTGACTTAAAAAAGATGATACAGAGCATTTCCTCTTGCTCTATTCCAGTAGCTTGTTTTCTATGGATTGAAAGCAGAAGGATGGTTCCTAGGTTTGGGTGTACAAAGGAGGAGGAAGATAAGAGAAGCATGAGGATGAGGACTATTTTGTGTTCTTTATTTGTAAATAGAGGTCTCCAAGTAAATCCTGATTAAAAAAGGAATGGTACAGTATGGCCACACCTTAATAAAGACTGATTTCCTAGAAAAGTTGCTTACTTCTCAAAATCAGTTGAATAGGTAACGCAACAGAAGTGTTGTATTTGGAAATGGAGGTATCTGGAAGGTCCCAATGTGTATCTGCCTGGTAGGAGGCAGAGTTCCTACTTTGGCCTCTACAGGACCCCATAAGTCAAATGCTGGCACATGTGTGAGGCCCCTTTTCATACCTTTGATCCCTGCATAAAGGCAACAGCAGAGTAAGAGGGCTGGCATTGTGTGAGTTGTGCACTGCTGTCAGTCCTGGCTCCTTCAAATGGCCTCTGTGCACTTGGTATGACAGGTGGCCTACATGGAGTGCGGGAGGATTAGGTTCCTTCTGTGCCCTCTAAATGACTGGCATAGATTACTGGCTCCTACAAAGGGATTTAAACATACCTTTCTGAACAAAAAGAAGTATATAAATATGCATGTAACTGGATGCTCAATTTGTATAAGTAATTGCTCTGGTTGGTTATATTTGTAAATGAGGCAAACGTGTACAGAAATGATAAGTTAGATATACAGTTATTTGTGTGCAAAACTAACATGATGAGAAACTAAACACAATTAAATTATCTACACAATTGAGGAATAGCAATAATTTGAGATTGATATACATTTTTGCCCTCAGTTTTGCTGCATTCTTTTCCTTTTCTCATTAACTGGCCATGTGAACATAACACTAAAGAAGGGAAAAAATAGGTTTTAGTTCTGTATCTGCTAATGATTGCTTGGGCTTTAAGAGAAACTAAAATACTTATTTCGGTGAGGTTTCCTTTTGGTTTGTTTGTTTTTAAAGTGCACCAAATAAGTTCCTGCATTCCCAAAATCAAAGCATAGCATTAACAAGAGAAAAATTGCATCACCGATGTACTGCTAATATTTCTAATATTTGTGCTGCTTTCCTCCAACATTTGTTTTCCTTCATGAACTCAATGGCCACAACTTCTTCCATTTCAGAGAACAGCATATCGTCACAATTACCAATAAAAATAGCAAAATAGCAACTAGATTTTTTCATTATTATTTTTATGAAAACATAAATCATCATTGATAATACTTTTCTTAGTCTGGGTTATTTTGCACTGTCCCTAATATTTCCATAGGTGCCAATACATCCCTAAGTGCTGTGGTAGAAGAAAGCACTGGGAATTTCTTGTGACTGTGCACCTACCAAATCTTAAAAGAGCATTCTGAGAAATGGAGCCTTATGTTGAATGCTTTCTTAAACAGGTTAAAATCAAAAGATGACATTTAGTTTTGGATGGAGCTTTTCACAATTCTCTGAAAAGATTAATGAGCAGAAGGGTAGATGGTGACACTGAACATGTAAGCAAACTGCAAGTCTGAGTCCACATTTCCATTCCAGCCCTGAGAAGAGGAAGAATGCCATCTGCTGAGTGTGTGTTCTTATCTCCCACAACTTAACATCTAAGTTGCCTATCAATACTAGAATTATTAGAATTAACCTTCTCCTCAAAATGACCAAGAGCTATTCAAGAATGCCCTTTTTCTTTCTTAATCCTTTACTTTTAATTTTTATCTTTCTCTCTCATCCTATCTCTTACACATTCTGCTCAGTACTCTCTTCATTTTCTCCTAGTATCTCCTTCGTAAATATAAAAAGTTAGTTTCTTCTTATTTCACTATAAAAGAGCATATTTTCCACTCTGCCAAATATTCAACATAGAATCAAAGACGAAAATTCTGATGAATTCATGCACACACTTTAAAAAAAACAACCAAACCCAAACAGCAGCCTTTTTGCCTCTTAACCCCTTCTCCTCATGTGGTCAGCAGTCTAGTTGTCAAGAGCCCAAGGACAATGCTGAGGTGACCCACTGACATCTTCAAACGGAGGCATGGAGGCAAAATACAGTCATCTAAAAAAGTGCAATTTTGCATATTTTTGAAACTATATCAAATGAGACAGTTGCATTCTGGGATACCTCTAAGTCTTTTATCACTGCAAGGAATTGAATTTCAAGCACAGACTAATATTTTTAGAAGTATTCAGTCCTGGGCCTACTGTGATCCTCTTTGATATCCTTTCATACCTGCAGCTATATGATAAGCAAGGACAGGAGGAGATAAAACTGTTGAAAGAACTTTTAGCAACCATGCAGTCTAGTATGTCCATCCATTCAGTAATTGCATTTACGTAACACCACTAACATAATTTCAATTATTTTTCCTGTGCTTGGAAAATAAGCTAATCTTAGAATCACACTGAAATCCAGGAGGACACTTTTGAGAGAATAAAGAATATTTTTCACAGCAATATTGACAGTATTTGTGCTTAAGAGTGCTTAAGTTTAAAAGAAAAATGTTTTACTCTGATGAAAATATTCTTATAGTTGCATTTTACTTTTATGTATAAAATATCTCCAACAGCAATCCTTTTAGTTTTTATTCACACCACATGAACACCACATAATCAATGGCAGATCAAACAGAAGTTTAGCAAGCAAGGGATTAAATAAGCACGGTTGGGTTGTACAGTAAAAAATGATGCTTTTACTTGTTGCTTATCCTCTACAGTTGAGCATTTTGCCCAAATGATGGAAGGACTCCTACAAAAGAGTACCTAGGTTATAATCCTCACTCTTCCACAACTGAAAAAGTGCATTGAGAATAACCTTTCTAAGCTTTGCTTTGAGAGTTATTCGTTGCTTAAGGGAAATGAAATGCCCTCTGAGGTTTGTAGTGGCTGTTTAAAGACTGTGCAAAGCTGTAATGAATCTCTGTAGGAAAGCAAAATGTCAACAAAAAAAGTGTGAGTTAACAAAAGCACCTTTTTTTTGAATTATTATTAACAATGGCAAAAAAAAAAAAAAAAAAAAAAAAGGTTGTACTTACAGGAACATCAACATATTTTGCAGCTGCTTTCACCTTTAGAAAATGAAAAATAAAACAACACACAGTCAGGGCTTACTGCTACAGACTGTGCACAAGTATAGAATTATGCACAGAATGAACAAAAGCACTGTGAATTCGAACACCTACCGTGAATGAAACTAATGATGAGAAGAAGGTGCCTTCGTCATATCTTGACAGTTTGGACAGCACACCTTCCAACACTGAAACAACCTGGAGGAAAAGCACAGAGCAAAAGCCAAATGCACAGTGTGAGAAGTAAATATTTTGAATGAGAAAGTGAGGTTTTCTCCTCAGACTCCTATTGTTCAACATGGCAAACCGCCAATTTGATCATTTTTCGGCACACAAAATGCTGAAATCATGGAAGGCATTTGTTTTTCAGCTCACTTTCTGACCACACTGGTAGATACCACTGTTTAACGACTGCAGAAATAAAAACCAACTGGCATTTCCTCTCAAGGTGAGCCTGTTAATACATACCTCTTTGCTTTCCTCACACTGCATGGTTAAATACAGGAGTGTGTATATCCAACATGTATTCTGGGTAGGAAATGTTATTTTCTAGGACCTCAGTTTCTAGGATCATAGCTTCGGAGATGATGGACCACAACTGTTAAAGCCTATTATGTCAACATCACGTTCCTCTTATCTTCGTTACTGAAAATAAACCCAACACCAGTTTCATCCAGCAGTGTCATAGCACTAGTGTTTTCTGTCAGCTCGTTTCCATTAACAGCAACAGCTCCTGCATGGCCAATATGGGGCATGAGAACATAGGCCCTACATCTCTGCTACGGCAGGGTCTTTTCCCCCATTCTTCCACCTGCGACTCTCAACTAGCATGCAAAGGCTATTTTGCCAGAATTTATTTCTGACTCCAAAAATCTCTTATTCATTGTATTCATTGAATTAATTGTAGCCTTAATATTTAAAGTGCCTAAATTAGCCTTAGAACATGTTCCTCTGTGACATAAGTCACTTACAGTGTAAGACAAAGTATCTGCTAGCCATTGTATGCGTCTGCATTTATTTTACACATAGAAATTGCCTTCCAGTTTGTATAAAGATTGTTTTAAAAGTCATCCCTTGCTCCAATGCAGTCATTCCAACAACCACGAGTATCATTTTATGAGTGTGAGGACAGAACAAAATTCCATCTGGCATGCTGTTAATGGGCACTGTAACAGTGTCACAACAGTGTCACCTCCAGAGGAACTGAGATCATCACTTTACAATAAGCCCTGCTCTTAACAGTTCAAGGAGCAAGAGCAAGTGCAAGGCTACATTTGTCATTTATCAATCTAACCCGCCATATTACAGCGATTAATTAAGACGCTAGTATGTCAGCACTGATCAAGGAATTAAACCACTTCATGAGCTACCAGAGAGAATGTGGTTGTTCCTGCACTCCATGCACAGTTTAATTAGAGTCCCCTTATTAGATCAAATGCCATCTCTCTGCCTTGCTGTTCTGTGCCTGCAGAAGCTGCTGCTCATGCGCTGCAGACTCCCATACTCATTTTATCTGAGTGGTAAGGATGCCATCTGCCCAAGGGTGTTCAGTCACATTGTGCAAATATCCACTATGTGGATATTTAATATGTGAAGGGTTACAAAAAACATCATGTATGCATTGCCAACAAATGGTTCCAACACAAGTGGGATAGAAATGGTTCCAATATAAGTGGGACACAAAAGATCAGGAATTTAAACACCACAGTGTCAAGGATGTCCATTTAAATGAAAGACATAGTTATGAAGCTGGAAATTTCTTTTCTGAGCTCTCACTGTACAGACTTGTAAAGCTCTAAGAGCATCTAATTCTCTGAACTGGTTACTCCGAGACACACTGTGCTTTGTTCCACTGTTTAGTGCTGTTCTCTTATTTGTTAAATGCTTTAGCTCTGTAAGTCTTACACATAAAAGTCACAGTTTCATCTTTTCTAAGTAGAATCTCACTGAAGTGTTCTTTTCATTTTCTTAAATTACTTGCAGCTAAAAACAAATATGGAAACATTTACTCCACTGGAACATAATACTGAGGCAAATAATACAGAGGCAAAGGATAAACAGTAATGAAAACAGCTGAAAAGTAATGAACATACAAGGGATACTATGCACACTGATGCACATTTTTCCTAGCCAAAAGAGAGTGAAGCATCAGCCTTACTCAGCACCTTCAGAGGCTTTCTGCTTTGGAACAGAAGCAATCAGGATGTCACTGGCAGTTCACATCACAAGTTAGGAGAGCCTGGTTAAGCTCCTCATGATTGGCCTATGACACAGAATATTTGCTTCCTGTTCTTTCAACCTCTTCTAGCAGTGTATGTGATAACTAATAATGCATATCCTTCTTCACCGATGGCAACTGTCTGTAGAATTTGTATCTATGTCTAGGAAGAACATGATTATTTCTCTCTTTCAGTAATATCATATACATTAAAAAACATTTCAAGGATTGACTTCTAACAGTGTGATTTGCTTTCACTTAATTTCCTCCTCTACATCTTCAATAATTCTAAAAAACCTGACAGGTTGCATATAAATCTCAGTGCTGACAATGTGAACAATTTGGTGTAATGTTTATTTTAATACAGCACTTTACAGAAAGCAGTTTTACATTTTTTACACATCTATCAACCATGCTTAAGCTTCTATAACAATCCTACAAAAACTCCCACTCCAACTCATGTACAAGCAGGAGGTCACTCCTAAAAGAGATTCTTGCTCCCTCTCACCCCCTGCCAGCAAGCTGTAAGTAACGAAAACAAAGGCATAAGGAAAATATGAGCATGGTCTTAATTTTTCTCTCTAACTCACAATTTATAAATGCAAGGCTAATTTCTCCTCTGACAATCAGATATTTCTGTGTAGTTTGCATTGCACAGACAGCAAAACATCTTATAAAATGTTTATGTTCTCTAGTCATTATTTGCTGTGTCCTTCAGACTGAAAGCCTTTTCTTCTACATTAAGCACTTAAGACTTTTACTGAAGTGCTACAGTAACACAAGATGTTATTTAAATTTTCTTCAAATATTCGAGTATTTATACCATGTCAAACCATGTTTCCTTCTGACATAAAAAAAAATTCTGCAAAGGCAATTTCAGGAAATAACAACTTATAATACACTTCTAAATTAAACGGTTTGTGAAGCAAAATTAAAAACTTACATTCAGGATGTTGTTCAGCTTTATACACAAAATTATTTAAATACTATCTGATGATGGAGAGAAAGTTTTCATTAAACAAAAAGTAAAACATGGTGTTATCTGGGACAATACTGACATAATCAGGTCTTGCTGGTTCTATCTGATTAGCAGCTGCACAGACATTTTTCACCTAACAGTTAATAAAATTTAATTTGGTAAACGTGACATTATTTGGATGACAATGAGTTACAAACTGTGTTGTTGTTTCCTCCCCTTCCAAGTGTATTGTAAGCCTGCATAACAATAAAAGACACTTCAGAAGTTCAGCAATTAGAAATATATTTTCTACTTTTTTAATTAATTAAAATCTAAATTGTTTTACCTTTGAAACAAGGAGTGAAATAATTTCTTTCACAGTCTCTTCAACCAAGTCATCTATTTTTGAATGGTATTGTTGCTGTTTTTCAAAAGATAAACAAGCATTAGCATGTACATGAAGACACACTTTTGTCATGTCATAAACAGGGTGAAGCTGATAACACTGCCAGATCAGATTTACTTAAAATTATCATTTTGACCATCAGAAGAACGAACCCTTGAAAACGATCCACCCAATCAACACTTTCTTATGTTGTGTGTTGAAAATTTTCCCATGTATACTGTTGAGTTAAGCAGCTAATGGGGTTATTATTTAGATGAATTGAGTTCTTATTCTTATTCAGGCGAAGGAATGTGAAGGATACTTTTTGTCTTCCCCTATATAATTAAGGTGGCCATGTATTTTTTTCTAAAGGGTTGGTTTAGCTGCAGAAGCAAAAAGACTAGAATAAGATTTAATTAATAGAGCATTTCATGTCTGACAACTCTCATTCATAAGTTATTTTAAATGTCCTCTAGAAATGAAACGAACTTCAATTGTTCATCCTAAAAGAGCCTTTCTGTTAGCACAGTGAGCTGCAGTTTGTGTAAGTCTTACAATATGCTCAAGCAAGGGCAAAATTAAAATTTCATCAATAAAGCAGAATAGATGGTAACTAATTAATAGGCCATAAAAGGCATAATAAAACAGACTTCATTTTCCATAGTCTCTTTCTTTCACTTTTTCATACAGAAAGTGCCTTTAAGTAAATGCTTTTAAAATAAATCTGAAAGACTTTTAGATAACACCACAGAGTTCCCTCCTGAAATTAACAGAAACTAGGGATCCCATTTTTTCAAGGAGGCACATCAATTTAAACAGTAATTCTTCCTTTAGAAACGTTTATCTGACAGCAGAGACTGTCCCCAATAGCCACTTCACAGAAAATGTGACTTGTAAAGACTAACCCTGCCTTCATAGTTCAAGGCTGCTTGGAACAGCTAACAGCATAATGCTCAGAGTAAAAGTACTGGGGTCAGTACAAACATTAGCCTAACTTAGCAGCTGCTAGATGAATAGTTCGCAGAGTTTTCAAAGGCTATTTTTTATCTACCTTAGAGTTGCCATACAAATCAAAACATTAAATCCGTTCAGCTTAATAGATTTAGGAATAATTTTCTAAATAGTACATTTCCTAAAATTGCATTGAAACTCAGAGAGAACAAAACTATGAAATGTGTTTATCCAAGCACATTTATCTGTTCCATGTACCAACTACTGTTCCCAATGTATGTTAAGTTTTGCTTTTAACATTTTCTCTGCAGTTTAAAAATAGTTGGAAAACATAAATACAGATCTCAGACAATATTAGCACACATCTCAGAAGAGTGAAAAAATGTATTAAACACATTAAAGAACTTTTCATAGTTCCATTATATTTAACTTCATTATCAAAAAAATTCATGTTCAGAAAAATTAAGAAACAATTTGAATTATTCAAAAATAACAAAAAGCTTCCAAAATTATGAAGTTTCTTTAGAAATTAGATTTGAATTCTTATTTTAATCTGAGTTTCTTTCTTTTTTTTTTTTCCCAAGACTTATTTTGCAAGCCATACAATCAAACCCTTTTTTTTATCCCAATCCTCCTCAGTGTCAACTTCCAGCAATACAGACACGCTTGACAAAGCAGAACTTCAGCTCCTCACAGAAGATTATCAGACTGCAGGTGGTTGCCTTTAGGAAGATGGCAAATACTGTAGAATTCACAATGGAGTTATGTGTGCTGACAAGGTTATATGCACAACCCCAAAATCAGAAATAGAAGGACTGTTTTTTTCTACTTCTGCCATGCTTTCTCAGTGAAGCAAGCTTCACTCCTTTCCCAAATTCATTTATTTATGGATGGTTGTATCCTTATGTTCTTCTGCTGGCTGATGTGATCACAGTCCAAATAGAGGCTGAATCTAGACAACTCCTACAGCTACATGATTTGAATGCACGTTGTGGGGTCCTTTCGCACGATCCCAAAATCTCTGAAGGATCTTGGGAAAATGTAAAATGCAGTTCTGCCCTTAAATTACTCCCGTAAAATATGAACAGCTGCATCTATAGGAGGTACATGAGAAAAAACAATGCTTAGAGACATAGTGTGTAATGGATTGTAACCTAAAATGACTTTCTGTTGAGAACAACCTGTCTGGTCTTCCAAACATGTCTCTACGCCCCCAGTAGCAGATCCAGTACTGCTATTGGGAAGGAGACAAAGTATTTTAACACTTTCAGACAACCCTACTTTTGGGAACATAAGTGTTTGTTCCTAAATCCTGTGGTGATCAGCTGAGAACCGTAACTTGCTCAGCTCTGCAATATATTCAGTGTTCTCCTCCATTCAATCTCACTGTGTCTCAACATTGGACTGGGCTTTTTGAATTTCTTGTTTTATTTTTGTTTTCTTTTTTTTTTAAATTTAGTTTAGTTCTGTTTCTTCTGTTTGTTTTCAAGTTGGATGGCTCAGAGTTTGGAAAATAAATTCTATGTGATCATCTGAACCAAAACTATTACTATCAACATAACAATACTATCTGCATATGAAATTACCTCTGTACTTCTACTATCAAATCAGCTATAATCCTCTACTATTTATGCAGTTAAATGACCTTGATCTTTGAATTTTATGAACTGAAAGCCCTTCAGAAACAAAGCTCATCAAATTAAAGCCCAATTTTCCCTGGCATTTCTTTTTCTCCCCACCTATCAATATCCACTGGATGTGGCATGTTCCACTGAGAAGGCACATTACTCATTTTTCCACAAATGGAAAAGCAATCTCTCATTTAAAAAGCATGATAGGGAGGCTGGAATTCTGAACTAAAATAGCTTTTATAAATATTTTGCTATAAAGCACTGAATAGTATAGACCAGTGGTGTTTATTCCATTCAAACTACCCAGTTACAAGCCAGCAAACAAGCTCCTGCTCATGCCTAACTACTTGTCATCCTAAGTGGCCCGAGAACTATTCTGTTAGAGTTTTGCCTCCAGCAATATTTCCTGTGTGATTCTTGCCTATCATACTAAAAAAAAACAGAATATAGTTGCAATACTGCAGCTTCTAGACTGTAACTTTTAAAGTTAATAGGCTGTAAAGTATTTATCCCAAACAACAAATGCTGAAGAACTCTGGATGAGTGATTATTGTACGACAGAAAATATTTCCCTTGCTGCTGCTATTCATTTCATTCAGGATATATGGACTGCAAAGGCACAATGCCTGCTGATTCAGGAAGGACATGTGACGCTATTCAGCATATATTTACTGAAGATTATATACACTGACAATAAGAAGCTGGGTAGGAAACTACTCAAGAAATAGTAGCAACTGGCACGTCACTTGGCTGTCTCCCTGTGTCCTTCTGCTTTTCTCCATAAATTGCCATTCTGCTCGGCTATGAATAAGGCTACAGGCACTGTAGTTCATCTGAGACAATGTGCTTCTCCTTTGGACATGCCTCTTAAAGCCTCCTAAGTCAGCCGTCAAACAATGCAGAAGGCATTCAGCAAGCTGAGCAATCTTTAAACACAATGTATTGACTATTACTATTGACTACTGACTTAAGCTTTTCTTAAGATTTAAGTTGATATATAATAGACAAGGAGCAAGGCCTTTCTGAATGTCAGACTTAGGGACTACTTATAAAAGTAGATTTCTTCACTGGAGAACAGTTGGGAAAATGGTGAGCACTGTATGTACTAACAGGAAAACCAGAAGACTCAATCAAATTTAAACTCAAAACTCAAGGTGCTGCTTGACCATTATTACATGATAAATAAAAATTCTTCCCTATCTGACCATGAAAAATTCCTCATCTGACTCTAAATGAATCAAGCATACAAGTGCTCCTAGCTCTGTACAGGGAAGGAAAAGATTATGTAACATTCAGGGAGATGCTTAAGTCTAATATTACATAAAATAACGTCTTCTGTCACTCACAGAGTCAGTTATAAGAACTGTCAGATGAATATTCAGTTGAGTTTTAGGTGAAAAATTTGCTCTTTAACCATATTTTTACTGAGGCCTTATGGAGAACTTCTCTTGACTAGCACAAAATACCATGTCTGAGATTAAATTGAGGCTGAAGAAGAACTAAGGAAAGAAAGGTAATATGGAAAAGGTTTTAAGACCAAGTGGCTGAGCTGGAGTATCTGGAAATGTCAGAGGTCCTACAGACGAGCAAGAAATACAACAGATGATGCCATGAGATGCTCTTCTGGCTTCTTTGGCAAATGGGCAGATTCCAGAAGTATCTCATTCAAGAAATCTGTAAGTGTTTCAAACAACTATGATATAAGCTACAAGTGACAGAAAGACTTATTTTTTCTTACTCATTCTGAAACAGCCTTGTGAACAGAAAAAACTGATAATTCAGAATTTATGAGAAAGTTTTCCCCACTACACGATAACTTCTGATATGTGAAGAATTTGAGATTCCTTTGGTTGATTAGCTTTAATGTTAATTTGGGGACTTCAAAATAAGTATCTGTTTCATCACACTGTTCAACTCTTGCACTGCAAAAAGAGCACTGGAAGCACTTGGAGTCATGGTCAGATCTTGCAGGGATAAAGGCTGTATTGCTATTTGGAGCTTGATGGAGATTAAAATAAACAACAGGGCTTAAAAATCTAAAGAATGAAGAGATTTCAGAAGGTCTGCAGTCCAAGAGGTAGCTGCGAATGCTGAACTTTTGTTCTGAGGGAGTCTTATTGACAACACAGGAGGCAGCATCAAGAGCATGTGAGAGGAATGATGTGACTGTGGGAAGTGAGGCTATACCATCTGTCTGAGGTCTTCATGGAGGTGCTGGTGTTGTCCTTCCCTAAACAAGGATGTGCACATGTGTGCAGGTTACTGCTCAGAAAAAGATGAACTGCCTTCATCCCCTAAGGTGAAGAGTTGCTAGTTGTGGTAACTTCTGATGAGCATGAAACAAACTATTTTGCTTCACTGAGAGGTGAAAGACCCCAAAACTTTGTGACTGGGATTGAAAAGAAGAAGAATGAAGAATTCATCCAGAATCACCTTAGAAGGGTGAATGAAGAAAGAAGAATTTAGAAGATGGTAATCCAGCAAGGTCAGTCTGTAAGGAAATTCCTAAGGCTGGGCAAGCACATTAATAAACAAAACAAACACAAAAGCGTTGTTTCAACTTAGAATTCACAATGGCAGCGAAAAACTAAAGAAAAAATGTAGGTTAAAAAAACAATGAAGAAACACTTACCCATTGACTAGCAAACTGGTTCATGTCATGGAAAACCAAAAGGAAAAATAAAGATGACAGGGTAGAACAGGAAAATGATGAATGTCTCATTGAAATGAGGAAAAAAAAAAAAAAGACAATTACATTGAATACACTAACTCAAAAAGATGAATCAACAAAATAAAAAGCACAATACAGAAATGGAAAAATCAGCAGAAACAATATGACAAAATAAAATAAATGTAAAACTGCCCAGAGAAGACATACTTTTTTTTGCCACATTCTGACAAATGTTCTAACTATCTCTCCAAAACCAAATGACACTAATGCATTAGTACTACTGCGTAACAAGAACAGTTTTAATTTGATGTGCTGGTAATGTCACCAGACTACATAGCATGCCCTTTTTCATTTTGCACATTATTTCTGCTGAGGGTGACAACGTGGGAAGTACAGCAGTCAGTGAAGTCTGTATTTCCTTTAAAAACACATCAATGCTCCAGCTGTGGGGAATCTACTACTCCTGTAGCAGGCTAGTACTAAAACTGTCCCTGACCTTCACAATTAAATTAAAAAATCCCATTAAATTAGCTGATTATTTCTTTCCTCTATTTTCAGCACGTTCACAGGAATGAATGCTAAGTATATGAGCCAATTAAAACAATTCTTACTCAATTAAAACCTGACTGCAAAGGACAATGTTTTGGTACTATTTTACTATTACAAAAGACTCCTTATGCAGGATTATGAGCTGCTGCAACCCAAGCAAAATTCTCAGAGTGGCTGTGAATCAGGAATTTCTCTGATTATCTACAGACTCATAGGTTACAGCAAATAAATTAGAGAAGCACTGTATCTTCTCTGGTTTAGAAGTGTCTTGAGTGATCCTTCTAAGGAGCACTGTATGTATGCCCCTGCACGTGATGACTTTCAGCTAATTTGAAATTAATTGACTACGGACTGTCCACAGACTGGGACATTTCATATGAACTGAACATAGGAATTAAGCATACAAAATTCCACTTACCTCTTGCCCTCCTTCTAGTATGCAGAGTTTAGCTGTCTGCTTTTTGGCATCAACTAAGACATTAAACATTGTACACAGAGAAGAAGGAATACGCAAGTCTGTTGATTTGTTTGTCTTTTGCAGCTTGACTTCAAAAGCAATTCTTGTTCTGTTTATTGAAACACAATTCATTATATGAGTATTCCTGATAATTTTTGGTGACTGCTGCAGAAACATATAAACCTTATTCACCATGGTGACTTAATGATGTACGTGCACGTGAGAAGATTTTAGAAATAAAATTCTGAATGTGGAGGATATCTACCCACTCAATAAACAATGGTATTGATGGTAATTTCAAGGTTCTGCACTGCTTCAGCTACTGCAGTGAAAAAAACCACTGTATTATCTTCTTGCCTACTAGATAACAATATGCTTCTTGTATGGTGATTAAGAAGAATTTAAAGCAATGAAAATATATGTTAAAATGTAGTTCACAATAAAGCAAGTGCTTGTTTGCTTCCAAGAAATATAATTCTAAAATCCTCTTTAAATTTTAACAGAAAAGAGAATCCCATTGATAGAGTTTATTATTAAACAAATATGAATATTTATATTGACACCTAAGATGTATCATGAGATCAGTAATAAACAAAACTACTTTCTTTTCACTGAACGCTACTGAAGTAAATGATAATGGTTTCAGAATACAAAAATATAAAAATGTTTTATTTCTTCCTTTATTTGCAAACACACACAGTAGAAATTGACACAATAATTACAAAATGGGAACAGAAATATCTTTTATCTAATTTAAAATATCTTATAGAACACAGTAGTATCACAATGAGAAAATAGTTCCACCTTTCTTTTCTGAGTTGCTGCTTTCCAATAAAACTCATTCTAGGGATACCACTTTTCTTTGTTTATCTCAGTTTTGGCATCTTCACCAACACTAAAATACCCAGAGTATTAACACTAGTATACAAATTTTTGTGGTATGCTTCTGCCTTTTTCACCAAAATTTCACCATGGTAGATCTACAGCAATAAGCTCATATAATAAGTCTCAGGTTCTTGTTCCTATTATCTTTAAAGAAAACAAAAAAACATTGTGTTACCAGATTAAACTTTACGGGTTATGAAAGCTTCCCTGTTCCTTTAGTCTTCCATATCAATATTCCATATTTTCTGATTGACACTACTGAACTATCTACAAATTTCGTTTTCTCCATTACTGTTTTTTAGTCAACTATTAACATTTGCCACAAATCTGGAATGGCAAAGAGATTTGATTTCTTGACTTCTAGGGCACAGCTCAAAACATGCAGAAATTTTCCTTGCTACTTTGCAGATGTTGCTAAATTGCTCTTTGTCATGTGATGGGAAATACACGATCTCTTTATACTTGACATAAATTCATATGATCTTTCCCAATGCGTCTGCTGCTGATCACAGCAGGAAACCAGGATCCTCCTATGGATGCACATCTGTGCACCAGTATAACTGTTCCTATGTTAATTTTTAAATCTCTCCCAGTTTTCTATTGGTCATTTCAACTGTACCTTTTAACGCAGGCTTCTATCATGTCAGTGGCCATGAGTTTAAGTCTCTGCTCTAAATGGTGTGCAAATTCCGGTTCTGGCCAGTGAAGATCAAAAACAAACATCTGCAGAGCATCCAGTTTCCAAAAAAGATCTTCTGATGTAGCTGAGCCGTTGCTATGGAAAACAAAACAAAACAAAATCCCCAAGAAACAAAAGATAAATGTACAGATGTCTCTCTCATTTGCCATGGAATTATATAGGAGAATAGGATTTCCTTATCAACCCATCATCCTCCTTCACTTTATTTAATAGCACAGTTGCTTTTATTCCAAGGATGTGAAAATGGTAGTGGAAAATTTTAAGCAATTCCAAATAGGATGAAAAAAATACAATTTTCTCATCTGCAACTGAGGAATATAATAGGCTAAGGGAGGTTGGGTGAGATGATGAGGATCATGGAGGAACGATGTAGCTCAAATTTCAGATTAAGACAGGAAACATAAAGGATAAAGGAACATTAATAAGGACATTTTCCAAAACAGTTAGGATTTTGTATATGTTTTCTTACTTTCATAATTCAGGTAGATAAATCTACCAAAGAACTAAAAATACTAGTTGTAATATCATAAAAGAGATACCCAGACAAACAGTCCCTTGATAAATGCTCGTTAATTCTCACTGACGGAATATCCCAATGGAAAAAAGAGAAATAACAAAATTCATGCATAAACAAAACGGAATTAGTATAGTTCTGTTTACAAGTTCTTCTGCTCTGAACCAAGTGATGAATTTCAAGACATTTACATGTGATAAGACATAGTAATTCAAGGCTAATCTTTGCTGTAAATACAGTTATGCTTCCACTGTCAATGTAGATTAACTAATATTATTACGATGTCTTGCATTTCAGTGCCTCGGTCATTGCTTAAGAAGCCACAATACTTCACAGCACAGCATCCCAGGATGATAGTGACACAAGCCTCAAAAACAGCCTGGCAGGCTCAATTCTAATTCAGATAGCTTAAATATATCAATAATGCCATTTTCTTGCTTCTACCTCATAGCAAAAGAACACAATTATCAGAGGGTAAAGTGACCCAAGCTCTCATGGAAGGAACTGGGGAGTGCTGAATGTGCTGAGACAGGCAAGAGTCAGGTTAAAAAATGAACTAACTTAAAAATAGGAAAGATACCTCATATTTGACTGACTAATGTACTCATCAGTAGCACTAACACTGGGTCACACCAGGTGGGCCGTGACATTGGGCAGTAACATGAAGCAAGGCCTAAAGCACATATTCAGACCTTTGGAGAGGTTACACAGATGCAGCAGGAGCACTGCTTTGGTCTTAAGAAAACCCATCACCTTCCAGATTCACACAAGCGCCCCCTTCCCCTGCTTTAATGCTTGCAGTACTACAGAGTCATCACTGTCCTCTGCTGTGCTGTCTTAGATTCAAAAAAGACAGCCAAACTGGGAAAAGAGGGAGGCCAAAGAAGGCCGAGTGGTGACACCTGCCTATGGAAAAGGCTGGGTTCAAACAAACAACTCAAATGTCATATTTTGATGTCTCTAATACGTGCAAGAAGGAACACAGAACGAGTCACAGAATGAATCACAGAATGGTTTGGCTTGGAATGGCTTACGATCATCTAGTTCCAGTGCCCCTTCTATAGGCATGGACACCTCCCTCTAGACCAGTTGCTCAAAGCCCCATCCAGCCAGAATCCACAGCCTCACTGGGCAACCTGTTCCAGTGTCTCACCATCCTCACAGTAAAGAATTTCTTCCTAATATCGAGTCCAAATCAATATTCTTCCAGTTTAAAGACATTTCCCCTTGTCTTGTCGCTACATGTTATTCTAAAATGTCCCTCTCCACCTTTCCTGTAGGCTCCCTTCAAGTACTGGAACTCTGCTATAGCGTCCCCATGGAGCCTTCTTTCCCCTGGCTAAAGAGCTCCAGCTCTCTCAGCCTGTCCTTGTAGGGGAGGTGCTCAGCCCTCTGATCATCTTTGTGGCCCTCCTCTGGACCTGCTCCAACAGCTCCATGCCCTTCTTGTGTTGGGGGCTCCAGAACTGGACACGGTACTCCAGGTGAGGTTTCATCATGACAGCAGAGTAGAAGGGCAGAATCATCTTCTTCCTGCAAGTCACACTTATCTCTATGCAACCCAGGATACAGTTGACCTTCTGGGCTGCAAGCACACACTGCTGGCTCATATTGAATCTTTCATCAACCGACACCCCTAAATTCTCCTCCTCAGAGCTGCTCTCAAGCCATTCTCCACCCAACCTGTATCTGCGCTTGGGATTGCCCCTTCCCAGATGCAGGATAGTTCACAGTTTTCAAATAGGACCTGCATGTTGTAATGCATTTTTCCTCACTCATCTTAAACAATAATTACTAATTTTACATTGTGCTGTGCTCATGAAAGAAAACAGCAGAAACAGCAATAAAAGCCCAGGAGGCTGCTAAGGTTACAACTTGCACAGGGATGTTACTGTTCAGGTTAGAGCTGAGTGAGGAGCACTTTTATACACCATTAAGTTTAATTAAGAAATATCAAGAATGAACCCCCACAACACCTCAGAAAGTCTATGATTCTGCTGGTCTGTTTTTTAAGTTGTACGACACCAATATTGGGGATTTCATTATATCTTATATCTCTAAGATGCTACCAGGGAATGAAGCCATAGATGCTTCATTATACACAATATCTGACTTGAAAAACACTTTTTTTTTTTTCAGTCAGAGGGGGTAAAAGATGACAAATGATATAGTGGCAGAAATAGAGGTAATGCCAGTCAATATTAAAGTTGGTAAGAACACACTTTCTAGAAAACAAAACATACTTCCCCAGGAAACAAACTACCACTTTTCATTATTAGATCATATTTTATCATTTTTTATCATTTCGCATGTATTTTTTTCATTTTTAGCCTAATGGAATTCTAAATGAAATTCTTTAAGACTCAGGAGGACTAATGTGTTCTCAATAACATTAATGTATTCCTACGCACGTTCACTCCTTGGTAGCCACTTAATTTGGTTTCATTATACTACCAAGTAAAGTTTCAAATTAAAACAAATTTAGTAATAGACACAGGTTCATGAAACACTAATTCATTCTGTCAGAAACACTAATTCATTCGTTCTCTTTTCATATGATTTTGAGGTTCCATTCTTCAATTTTTATTCAGCATTGTCTGATAACATTTGAATTTGACTACTGTATTATTACACTAGTTAGATAAGGAAGGAAAATTCAGTGCTACAACAGAAACTAATTTTTCCTAATTCAGGCACAAATAGCCAATTTGTTTGCTATGTGCTGAAGAGAACTGTGATTTCAACCAACCTGTTCCTATTTGTAACAGATCACTGCTTTACACAGACTACAGAATTTTTTTTTTGTCCATTATTCATTAAAGGTATTACAAATAATATTGTCAACACATACCTCAATACCCTGAAGTGGATCTACAGTCTGCAGATTTTATTCCCCCTTGAATATCTGGTTATGTCATCTCAGAGTTTAATATTCCATAAAACGCAACATCAAGAAAAACCAAATGCAGTTTTCACCTCCTCCTGACAGCAGGAGGTATTCCCACATTCAATTCAAACCACTGAAGCACTTGAATCTATGTGCACAATTACAAAACCCATTCTTGGCTACTGTAAGGTTTTTATTTGAACACTTATGATAAGCTAATTTGGTCTAATGAATGGAATAATATTGCTGTACCTGAAAATTGCTACTCTTTTTTCAACTATACTCAATAGAATTATTTATTAATCTACAATTAAGTGCAAACTCTACTGTTCTGTAGTCAAGATTTAAGATTTCAGCAGCAGTTTGAGCAAAAGGTATTGTTTAGTTTTTGACTCTTTTTAATCAGGTCCTTGGAATAAAGTTTCCAATGGTTTAAAGAGGCCCACCCTAATTTTTTGACAGCAATTTAACTTTGTAGATGTAGTCCATTTTAAGCTAAATGGTTCTATGGTTTTCTGCCTCTCGTACCAAACACAGCAAATAAAGGTGAAGAACATTGTATTTCTCCAAAATTTTGCAGCATATTAAACTTAGGAACTGTATACATTCTCCTAAGTAATTCACTTGTCCACTAACAGCCAAAAGAGGCAACTTTCCTCCATTTACTCAATTATCGAAGCAGTAGCAGTCAGTCAAGCAGTCCATTAACAGAGCTGCAAGATTACCCAATAAGACAGCTTGGAATATGGAAATATAAGAGATATTCTAAATATCTATGGACATTCTTTATCAACCATAAGATCCAAAATCATCTGGCTTCCATTCTAGTAGAATTTACGAAGAGCAATAGTGGTGATTTTATAAATTACTGTGTATATTCTGAAGTTTACTATTGAATTATAACCCATTAGTGCTTTGTGGGTAGTGCTATAAAACAGGGCAACAGCACCATGTTCTTTGTGAGGTTCAGTTCCTACCTTGAATATGCATGTTCAAGACTCAGAAAGTCAACTGAGAATTCTTTCAACATAAAAGGCTTTTTTGTAATTATAGAGTCAATAGTACCTGCCCCGACTCTCTACATTTCATTAGCTGGCGATTGGAAAGGCTGAAAAACAGATTTGATGCAGCAAGTAATGGATTGTGTTTGGTCCCCCAAAGATGTTAGGGCCAAAGAGTAACTTCTTGACTCCTCCTACTTAGCTCAAGACTGAGGCAACTTGAGGGTTAAGCAATCTAAAACATTTCTGTTAATTCTTCTTTCTTAAATGAAAGTATTTTTGGAAGAAACAAAATGTAGCCCATAATACATATTTATCTTCCAGAATAGCTCAAATAGAAGCTTGCTACACTTGTCTTGAATTCAAAACTCTGTACTCCACAGGAAGTAGATCACTTCAGCTAAATTTCACTTATGGCCATATTCTTAAGTAACTATCCTCAAAAAGAAAACAATTTTCATCTTCCAAATTGCCACAGCTGAGTACTCTGACAAGAACAAATGTGGCACTACAGATGTACTAAACAGTGCTGAAACCTGCTCCAGCACATGCACAGACAGACCACTGTGGCTGCTCCCTTCTCCACTCATTGTAGCTGAGTCACAGAAGGATGAACATAGCTGAGGCATTTGCTTTGTAACTGCCTGTTCTGGCTGGTAGACAAGACAGGACTGTCTTCCTGAAAGCATGTATGCTTGCATCCTATCTCATGTTTCTCCAGCCTTGAGATTTGCCAAGGCCAATGATCAAGAATGGCATAAGATAGCAATGGACAACCTTGAGTCTGTATCTGCAGTGTGCTTGGTCAGTGAATATATGTTGACTTGCACTGAAAATAATAATTTATAAATGAAATCATACACAACTAAATCACCCACAAATGCAATTTAAAAGCCTGGTTCACAAGAGGCAGAGTAAATCCATTTAAAATACAAAATGGAACAGAAGTAATTTTAATTAATTAATGAGGAATTGAGAAAAGCATCATTCTGGATAATCAGAAGATTTTACAGAATATTCAGGTATTTTCTCCTTTTAGGATACTGTCCTTAGCCAAACGTTGTAATGCTCCACATGTCTAGCCAAGGTGTCCTCTGAGTTATCCTCTCCAGAGACCAATCAAAACAAACAGACACTGAACAATTTCCTCTTTTCATATCTCTCTTCCCATTGCCCAATAATAACAGGCTAAGGAAAAGCAACTGAAAATGATTTAATAATCTTTCTAAGCACTGTCATTAGTAGTACACATTTCCTTCTTCAAAATACGTCATCAAGAAAAAAAAAAGCAAGTTAATTAAAAATTATAAATAATATTATCTTGTAATATTCAAAAGAATTGGAGCAATTTTTAAGTGATACAGAGGAAGAGATTGTAACATTAATCAACGAAGCACACAAAAAAATGCCTAAGGATATGTGTTGATGATAACTTACAAATAGTACAGGAATCAATGAGAAAAGGTGCTATGCTGGAGCTGTCTCCTCCTCAACAAGGAGTGGCTGGTGAGTAATGTGATATTCAAAGGCAGCCTTGGCTGTAGTGACCCCAAAATGGTAGAGTTCAAAATCCTTCAGGTATCAAAGAGGTGGTGCAGCAAGCTTGCTACTCTGGACTTCAGGAGAGCAGACTTTGAACTCTTCAGAAAGCTGCTTGGCAGGGAGACATGGGAGAAAGCCCTGGAGGGAAGAGGGGCCCAAGAAAGCTGGTAGGTACTGAAGGACCATTACTCCCAAGCCCAGAATTGGTGCATCCCAAGAAAAAGAAAGGTACGCAAGAATGTCAGGAGGCCTCTGTGGATAAACAAGGAGCTCCTGGACTTACTTAAACTCAAAAAGAAAGTCTATAGGGAGCGGAAGGAAGAACAGGTTACCTGGGAGGACTACAAAGAAGTTGCCCAAGCAGCCTGGGATCAGGTTAGGAATGCCAAAACCCAGACATATCTAAATCTAGCCAGGGACATAAAGGGGAACAAGAAGAAATTCTACCGGTATATCAGTGATAAAAAAGGAGGTCAGGGAAGATGTGGGCTCTCTCTGGAAGGAAACTGGAGACAGCTCATGAGGGATACGGAAAAAGCTGAGGTGCTCAATGACATCTTTGCCTCAGCCTTCACCAGCAAGGGCTCCAGCCACATCACCAAAGATGCAAGAACTTGGAGAAGGAGCCTGCTGTAAGTGAAGATGAGGTTTGAGACCATCTAAAAATCCTGAAGGCGTACAAGCTCATTGGACCTGACAAGATTCATCTACAGATTGTGAGGGAACTGGCAGATGAAGTTGCCAAGCCAATGTCCATCATATTTGAAAGGCCATGGAAGTCTGGTGAAGTTCCCACTGATTAAAAGGGGAAACATGACCCCCATTTTCAAGAAGGGTAAAAAAAAAGATCCAGGAAACTACAGGCCAGTCAGTCTCACCCCTGTGCCCGTCAAGAACATGGAGCAGATCCTCCTGAAGGCCATAGTGTGGCACATGGAAAATAAAGATGAGGTGATTGGTGGTAAACAACATGGCTTCACCAAGGGCAAGTCCTGCCTGACAAACTTAGTGGCCTGTTATGATGGAGTTACAGCATCAGTGGATAGAGGAAGAGCAACTGACATCATCTACCTGGATTTGTGCAAGGTGTTTGACATCCTGATCATCAAATTGGAGAAAAATTGAATTGATGGATGGACCACTCGCTGGATAAGGAATTGGCTGGATGGCTGCACTCAGAGTGTTGCGGTCAATGGCTGAATGTACAAGTGGAAACCAGTGAAGAGTGGCATTCCTCAGGGATTGGTGTGGGGAGTGATGTTATTTAACATCTTTGTAGGTGACACAGACAGTGGGATCAAGTGCGATGGAGCAAGTTTGCAGACAACACCAACCTGAGTGGTGCAGTTGACATGCTAGAGGGAATGGATGCTATCTAGAGGGATCTGGACAGGCTTGAGAAGTGGGCTCATGACAACCTCATGAAATTCAATAAGGCCAGATGTAAGGTCCTGCATCTGGGAAAGAGCAATCCCAAGCACAGATACAGGTTGAGCGGGGAACGGCTTGAGAGCAGCTCTGAGGAGGAGGATTCAGGAGTGTCAGTTGATGAAAGATTCAATGTGAGCCAGCAGAGTGTGCTTGCAGCCCAAAAGTCAACTGTATCCTGGGTTGCATGGAGATAAGGAGGAAGGAGATGATTCTGCCCTTCTACTCTGCTGTCATGAGACCCCAACTGGAGTACTGCGTCCAGTTCTGGAGCCCCCAACAGAAGAAGGGCATGGAGCTGTTGGAGCAGGTCCAGAGGAGGGCCACAAAGATGATCAGAGGGCTGAGCACAGACAGGCTGCTGAGCAAGGACAGGCTGAAAGAGCTGGGGGTGTTCAGCCAGGAGAAGAGAAGGAAACACTGGGTTTTGGTTAATAGAGACTGGAGAACAGGTACTTGGTTATTTCCCATCGGAGAATTTAACTGGAAAGCTCTGATTTTCTTGCAAAGGATGGGATGAAAGCTGTTTGAGAAAAATAATAATAGGAGATTATTTCATGTAATAACAGGAACAAACCACTTTCGCTACTGGAAGCTGAGACACTAACCAGCAGGACAAAGGAAATTCATGAGCTTGGAATAATAACTGGCTTGCAGAGCCTTCACTCAAACTGATGTTACTTTTTGATTCAAATAAAATATGTGGCCATTTAGAGAAGTTACCTGGCTTTTCTGCAGGTTGCAGGCAGTAGTCTGATTCTTAAAATACTACCTGAATTCCATTGTATTACAATGATAATACTAAAATCTTGGAATTAAATTTATACACTCTTCAATGAATACAACTTCAAAGCTCTACATTTTGAAGAAAGAAAGCAAAGCCATCTACAACAGAGCCAGTACCTTGGCAGATCTTTTCTTCTAGTTTGCTGCAAGAGGCAGCTGAAAGGAGTGATGGCCTTACTGAGCTCCATGCAGATACCACGCCTGGTACAGGTCTTGTCCCCATTCCTTTTGACAAACAACAAAGCAGCAGCTACTGCTGGCAAGTTCTTACAGCTCATGTGAGCCTCAGTGCTTTCAAAACCACACAAATTAGCTTAGGATGTTTTTCATACTCTTCTATACAGGCCACATACTTATTTCCAGAATATGTGCAAGGGAGATGAGGCAATGGCTGTGTTTTGCACTACACACGCATTTTTGACAATACTGTCTAGGTATTTATTGCTACACCAAAGCTTTCATTTAGGAAAGTTACACCAGTATAATACTCCAACCAGGACCAATACTTGTTATATATTAATTACAAATTCAATATGTAAAATACAAATATTTTAAAATCTACAAGTTATTTTTACTGGAAGAGGCTACTAGAATACAGATTGTAAGAAGACCACATCTAGGATTATAACAACTTTTAAATCTAAAAGCTAGTCTTTAAAAAAAAAGTAACCATTGAAAGAGTGAGAATAACTAGGCAAATAGATCTGAGTAGCAGATGACCAATTAGTTTGTACTCAGAGCTGAAATCAATTGCGTAAGCACATTAGGAGAAATCTAGAATTACAGTAAACACAAAAGCTACCAAAGCCAAGGATTAAGAGGAATTTTGTCAGCTTTTAGAAGAATTAGCAGCAGAACAACAACTCTATGGACAAGTGCCAGAAATCTGGCAGAGCACAATCTATAAACTCTCATAGTAATGGATGTGAATACTTGTTATGTGTGTTTAATTCCATCACAAAACTTGAGAAAACAATACTTGGCTTGAAATTTCATTATCAAGTTCTGTGTGTTACATGTATGTTTTCTGAAGTCATTCACATTCACCTGTTCCTATTACAACTAGAGCTAAAGCAAAGTTCTCCTGGAGCCTTCCTCTAGTATATTAAAAAAATATATATTTTTTGAAACAGGCAAAGCAATAGATGCATTTCTATTCTGGGTACCAATTAACCTTATAATTTTCTTTAATATCAGATATAATTATATATTATCTATATTTATCTATAATTTATAATGATTATTAATTATTAATATAAATATAATATATTATTATTATAACTATAATTATCTTTAATATCTTCTAATATCAATATTTCATGGCTAAATTTGCAATCAACTATGGGAATCAGTTTTCAGGACTGTTTTCACATGCAATGAGTTAATATAGCCCATGCAAAAATATGATGGGCTGCTTCACTTCATGATCTAAAATCAGTTATTCAAAAGATTCCTCGCTGCTTATTAATTAAGAAGGGTAATTAAGTACTTTAGGGTATAAAACATCACTCATACTTTGACAGACCTTTGCTGAGCTGATTTTTTAAGTTACAAGTTTAAGACCAATTCATTTAAAGGCACTAGAAAGCACAACTCGCTAACAGTCCATGCTTGGCTCACTTCCAAGAAACAGTAATTTCCAACTAAGAGATCATAAACACCATGCAATCCAAAAACAGCTGCACAGAACAGTAGCAAGGCCATGCAGAGCTGACATACAGTCAGAAGGTTATTGAAGAATACACACGTGAATTCATACATGGAAGTCATCCAGGTTGGTGTAGTAAAGCTAGGCATTTGTGGAAGATTAAGAGGCAAACTTGGAACTTTTGGAAGAGCTACATTAGGAAGACTGTTGGTGATGCTCCTGTGAAAAAATAAATAATGTAGGAATACAATAAAAAATAGAATATTTAGAGGACAGCAGAGGACAACACCTGATAAGACAGAAAGCTGTAGTGCTTTGTAGAAATACTGTAGAAAGCACTTACTTGACAGGTTGCCACGACTCTTGTTCAAGACCTCTGTGAATGGACTGGGCAATTGATGATTCCATGAGGTCAATGTAGCGGATGACCATGGGAACAAAAATTTCTTGCAAGTGCTTGTGAAACTTTCCATTGCACAAAAATGCTTTAAAAAGAAAGAAAACAGAAATAAATATGTCAGGTCTTTCCCTCATCTATTTTGCAATTGGAAAAAGTACCTCTTAAAATGTTTTAAAATACAAAAATATTTTAAGAATAAATATAGTGTGATCCAGCCTGTGTAGTAAGTACAGTGCATAAAAAAAAAACAACAACATGTACATCACGAGGGCTTTGCAGTCCATTTTTAGATGCCACTGTTATGAAAACTAGGCGCATATGTAAGTTCTTTGTTGAGCCAGATCACTTCTGTATCTCCTTAAAGTATATTTTGCTAAATCTAAGCCTTAGTCATTTTGTTCAACAGAACCAAAATAAATAAATTTCAGTGATATTCAATCATTTGCATTCTCTTTATGCTAAGAACAAAGGCTACAATAAAACATTTCAGCTTCAGTAGTTTGCTGTACTGCTTTCAGCTGGGACATGATGCTATGCTTTGGCTTTGGGAGAAAAACAATGGTGATAACACACCAATGTTTAGTTGTTACTGAGCAGTACTGCACAGAGCCAGGAATATTTGCATTTCTCATACTGTCCTGACAGGGCTGAGGGGGCACAAGGAGTTGGGAGGGGACAGAAATACAACAGCTGACCTAAACTGGCCAAAGGAATATTGCATACCATATGACAGCATGTGAAAAAAACATAAAACTGAGGAGCGTTGGCCAATGGCTGCTGCTTAAGGACTGGTTGGGCATCGGTCAGCGGGTAGTAAGGAACAGTTTTGTACATCACTTATTTGGTGACTATATATTATACTATTACACTTACTATTATTCTGCTTTTCTCTTCTTCTGTCTTAGAAAATAGTTTTTATCTCAACTCATAAGTTCTACTTTGATGTTTTTTTTCTCATTCTCTCCCCCACTCCACTGGGGGTGGGGGAAGTGAGCAAACAACTTTGTGGCGCTGAGCTACCTGCTAGGTTAAAGCACAACAGCTATGTGCAAAAATATAGTGAAATACAGCCTTTTCTTCAGGGAACTTATAAGAAAAAGATAACGTGTGACATAGGAGTATTTGTGGGAATAAGAACGGTTTATCCATCTGGTTTATGTCCTCAAGAGCTAGCAAAGTCCTGAATCAATTCCTATACCTACATGGAACATTCCATGATCTCTGGAATAGACAAATAAGTCTTAGTGTGTATATGTATGCCAAGAGCTGGTCAGCATGCCAGAATTCACCACCAGAGTTCTTCCTTTTCTGATCCCAAAATACACATAAACATAAAACAGACCCATGAACCAAAAGTACATCCTTTCCAGTTTGTGTTCATGTAAAACTCATCCCCACGAGCCATACTTGTCTCTCTTCTGCCTTCTCAACTGCCTTACAAAATCTGTAAGGATGTGAACTCTGCTTCCCTTCTGGAAGACTGCCTATACTCAGGTATGATCACCTCCAATTTTACAGTCATTGTAGTTTTATAAAGGAAATCCTGAAAACTAGTTGTCGGAAATGCTTAGGAAAGCTAATGACATATAACACTGCTAGAGGCTTTCTCTTTATTTTTGAAAGAAGCAGAGTCAATTTGTGGGGGATACTATAAGGATGAAGTGCATTTCTCAAGAGAAGTAAAGCAGCTACAAGGTGTAGAAAATTATCTGCTCCACAGATGGGATTTACTGCATGAAAAACTATGCAGACAATGTAAACTGAAGATGCTCAAAATCTAAAAATAAGTTTGCCATCACTACTATTTGTTCTGATAATCCTTACAATGTTCTTTAGTAAAGTCTCATCTTTACTGTAACTACAGTCTGCCCCACCAAGGGACTATATTGGCTTAATGTTTTGGATGTCCGTATTCACCCACTAATCTAGTACAATTACTACGATCTGTAATGATATTCCCATGTGTCATGTAGGCAAGCTGAGTCACAATGAGAAATTTTCATGATTTTGCTTTCTCTTACTGTTATGTGTTTTACATTCTCTTGTGCATTCAGCTTCAGCTTTCTCTTCAGCTCAGTGTGCTTCAAGCTTGAGTTCACTCACCCTTTATATCTTAAGCAACCAAACACTTCAAATGGAAAGGCACTGGTAGCAGCTACTGTCTCTAGGGAAAGCATTTGCGTCTTTCCCTGTATGGCTTCTGGGTTTCTCCTCTTACTTATCTCTGCCTCCAAACGTCTCATTTGACATGGATGGGTATCTGAGTTGCATTTTGAGGAGGCCTCTTCTTCCTAAGAGTAAAAGGCTAGATCATGTGGCTCAAAACCCTAGAATCCATTTCATGAAGATATAAACTCCTCTTGTTCTAGTTCACTACTACAACTCCATGTGTGACATGCAAAATTAATATCTGTAACTTACAAAACTCCTTTGTTTCCTCTTTATGATTAATGTTTACCACAGACAGAATCTAGGGAGATGAAGACTATGGAGAAAGTGTGTCTTCAAGTTTTATTTTCTTATTTTTACTTGCACTGCAGGGAAACACCTTTATTGCTGGATACTATTTTCTTTATAACATTCTTGCAGAATTGGGAAATTATGTATCAATCACTTTTTCCTAAGGAGAGAAGATTGATGATATCGTCACTCTTTCATTTGTCCACCTGCTTCTCTCTTCCTAAGAATTTTAATATTATAGCTAATTTCAGTGCTATATGGAAACAAAGGTGGAGATCTCCATTATATCAAGCCTCATGAAAACAGGCAGCTAGGTAACAGACAGAGATTGTTAGGGTTTCTGCAGAGAAAAAGGCAGCAGCATAGGCTTGTCTCTTACTGAACCCCTGAGAATCCACCCTGGAGAACACCTATCAGCCCATTACAAACATGCTCCGTTATTTACACTGCTCACAGAAGTACTTGTTATCTAGCTAGTTCTGGCATAATTAATTGCATATCAGGCTTTCAAAGCTGTGTTGTTTTTCCCTTGTATTTATATATCTTAAAAATGCAGCATCTGTACCCAGCAATAGCAACAACTGAGAAGGATTTGGATATTAACACAAAGATGTGGAAGCTTGCCCACACATCAAGTGTTTCACAGTAAACAGCTGATGAACATTGCCTTTGAGAAACAAAAGGTGGCAGGTATCAAGCTACATATAAGGCTGATTTTTTAAGGCTACTTTGAGCTTAAAAACAACAACAAGAACACAATAGTGTCAATTAAGTCAATATTGCTGCTTTTTAGTGAATCATTTCAGGATGGGCATTAATCAGGCAATCACAGTTACCTGAGAGGATGAGCCTGTAGCTCGCTGTTTTCTGAACACACCGCAGAAATGCTCTGCTGCAAGATCTGCTTGGGGAATTACAGTAATAGAGCCTCATGGGCAGGAGCGCAGCTCTTGTTATTCAGAAGTCAGAATGAAATTTAAAGAAGTCACAAGCAATAAAAGCTGTTCAACTTAGAAAGCTGAATCATTTTCTAACATCCTGACATCAATCTTTGCAGGGAAATGAAACTACCTAAACAGACGCCAAGATGCTTAATCTGACTGCACTCCAAGCAGATCGCTCTGTATGTGGGCACACACATGCAAGTGCTATCTTGGATGAACAACTCTGTGAGCATTCTGTTTTCCCAGAGTTGAGGACATGACAGATTTGATTTACCCATATGGAGATTTCAAGGATTACAGTAGGGGAGGGAAAGAACTCAGAGCCCAGCAGTGAGTGACGGAGATGAGTATTACCAGCAAACTCATGGCACTCCACCCTGTGATTAGAATTGATCTTGCCAACAGGTACCACCTGTGCATCTAAGCAGATGGGAAACAAGAGATCCTTGATGTAATGCCACACTTCAAAACCCTCAACTACCACTTCTCTTCAAAGCTACATAGCTTAATTCTCCGTCATCTTGTCAATATAGATGCCCCACGTGCTCTTCATGTGAACCATCTCATGTTCACACAAACAACAACAAAATGAAACTCTGTGCCAGGGCAAGGTAATGTGTGTACAATATTAAGGGGAAAAGGATTGTGGGAACAGAAACATCTCCCAGTAAGAAGTACTAGAAATACTGGAGTTGAAAGTTATTCAACTCTTACATAGTTGAAAAATGCTAAAACATGACATGAAAAGATCAGAGGTGGAAAGCACAGTGTAACAACACAGCACTGGAATAAGGTTCCTCTTCTAACAGTGGAAAATAATCTGTGGTTCTTACAGACATTAGAAACTTTGGGACTTGTTTTCATTTTATCCATGCAGATGTTTTGGGAGTTATTCTAGAGCCAGTGTGGCAAGTTGTCCTCAAGAGCTTATTCAGAATCAAAGGTAAGGGGAAGAATGAAACAGGTTATCACGGGTCTCTGCACCACTGGCAAAATCAGCACTTTGGAAGAATCTGCTATCACCCCTCTTTATATGACTCTCAGGTAGGCACCACTTGGCTTTCCTGATGTATTTTAAAATCCAATTTAAAAAGAGTAAATTTCAAGAAGGAGGTTTCCTTGGGGCTCCATATTCTATCTGTAGCAGTTGAAAATCATCCAATCCACTAAAAGAAGTTGAAATTTCAATCTGCTTATTGTTTATAGTTCGTTCTGCCTCCACAGAGCATTTGTTAATCAGTTATTTGAATTCTAGCAAAAATTGAGAGCATCTCAGCTTATATTCTAAATTCTATGCATTTTGCTATATGTGACATACTTTAGAAATGCATTTTAGAGACAAGCTATGTGGAAGTAAGCTGTAAACTTACTTGAGGAGCAAAATTTTCACCCTCCCCCTCCCACCCCAGAATATCAGCAATGAAACTGCAAAGAATTTCATCTTTACAAGACAAAGGGACACAAATGGCTTATTGCAGATTTATTTATTATTACATTTTGTTCCTAAAACTATCATTCAGCCAGAAAGGATATTCTAGTAAGCCGTTTTATGGTCTCAGTTAGCTGTCAGTATTTCCAAAACTGCAGCCCAAAACTGAAGGTAGGTTATCATTTCAAAACATCTCCTAACAGGACTGAGCAAAAATCCTAGGTCTCTTTTTTAGAAAATAGTCCCATTACAATTAATGAAAAATGTAGAGTTTGACGAGAGAAGGATCTTTTTGGGCTTGCCCTGAATACCTTAAATCTAAATTGTTCTCTATTTACACAGTACAGTTTAAGATGGGAGCTGTGATGGTATATTTAATTTCTAGTACAAAAGTGGTACACAGCCCGTAACCAAGCAAGAAGAGGACTGAGTTTACTGACATTTGTCATACTGCTGCTATTAACAGCAATACTGGAAAATAAAAAACAAAACATATCAAAGAGCTCCAGTTTTAAATCATTAGCCAAGATAATGGCAATAGTTTTCAAGACCCTAAATTTCAACATGCAGCTTTTTCGAAGTCAGCTTTATCAGACAGATGTGCCCTAGTTGACTTAGAGCAGGTACACAGGTATTTCACTAGTGATACTCAGTGAAAGAGAGATTATGAGTTAACTTTAAAATACTTCTAGTTTTGTTTGATTTTTGCCAGTGTTCATCACAAAGCACTAATGCAATATTGCTGAGCAACAGTACAGTCTATGATAACAGTAAATGATGCAGGTAAAATTCATTAGAATGGAAACACAACTTGGAAAGAAAAGGAGCAGAACACTGAAATATACAGTTAAGATACCTATAACATTAGCTAAATATAAAAACACTTGATGGAATTGTGCATGTGCCAGTAAAAGATATCTCTGATTATGTTAATCAGGAGAAACTGAGATATTTTCTTGAAGCACTAAAAAAAGTGATTAATATGAATAATTAAACACAGAATCTAAATAGTCCTCTGAAAGCAGTCCCTTTCATAATATAATTAATAGCCTCAGTGGAGAAAAAGTAACATCTACATTACTGAAAAAAAGTCCCGGGACATATAGTTCTGAGACAATCATGGATTTCTTCCATGAAATTCTATGAAATTCTGGAAAAAATAATTCTGTTATCATAGAGAGATATTGGGTACAGCTAAGTCTGTACCATCTGCAAAGCTTTACACAGTCAGGCACAACTGAGTATCAACAATTGAAACTTCGGAGATCACAAACATTTATATTATAGAAGTAGCTACAGCATTTTTTGCAAACATTTAGATTTTGAAAATTCACAACAAATTTATCTACAATCTATTATCCATCTCTACAGTACATGTCTCTTTGTTATCCCTCTTTGTTGCTTGATAGCTCCTCTCAGAAAAGCTGCAGTATTTTAAAGGATAGGAAGATCATATTCCTTGATCCATTTAAAAAAGTCAGACTTCATTGGTTAGACTTAGAGCAACACGACAATCAACAATGAATGCAGAACAAACTTCTTAATTTCTGTGGCCAGAAAAGGTGGAAAAGCTTCAAGTGACTCAGAATGGAATCCTTCATAATAGAAATGTGATGCAAGCTTGAATCAGAACTTCCTTCTCCCTTTAATGCAAGAAAAGTTACTTAATGGGAAATATGGTTCTATGATTCTTTTTTTTTTTTTTTCCTTTCCTTAATGTCAAATGAATGCTGTATTTTAATCATTTGGCTTTAATTATGTACAATGTTTTTTATTCTACTTAAACAACTGATATATTTCAGTGGTAAAGTCTACGTATTTTTATTATCGCACACTATTTCTAATACTGTATTTTAGTGACACAGTTATAAAAATAACCATGCAATGAAATTTCACTTTAATGCTGTAAATGTTAGAGCGTTTCTTTATTGTTAGGAGTTTGCTCATGTCAGGTTTGCATGAAAACTAACTCCTGCACTGAATATTTTGAGCTCATTTAAAGCCCTTGAGCGTGAGATAGAATAACACGCAGGTGCCCGTTCTCCAAATTTCACTGAAGATTAACCTAATATACAATATGGTGACCTAACAGTTCTTCATTTGAAAGAAATCTGAAAAGTAATCTCTGATATAGCCGAAGAGTGAGAATAACCCAGTGGGATTTCCACCTCTTCATTTCCTAATGAGTTTTTTGATAATGAGAGGTGACTTTGCCAGTCACTGTGGGCTCTATTATGGCTAATTTACTCCACTTCACTCTCCTTGTTAATTATTAACACTAGCCTTTTTATCCTCATGAGGCCACATTCCAGTTTTTCCCTTTTTAGATTTTTTCTAAATCTATCTTTATGAAGGTGATAGTTTCCAGGAAAAGGTTTTCACTTAGAGTACAGCCAGAATTATTTATTTCACTTTGAAAGACTGTAAAATTGATTATATAAGCATGGGGAGCTATTTCTAGTGGCTTTAATGTACTTGCAAGGTGAAAAGGCTGTTAATTAAAGAATAAGCACTGTGGTTATGTTTCACTTGGGAATCAGTTCTTGGTAGAATGGTCAGTTGCCACTTGCTGACATACCCACTGATTAAAAGGTGACTAATTTCCACGGTTGCTTTCCAATAGTTACATGGAAAAAAAAAGAGAGTATAATTTTCCAGATGGTTTCCACTCACCAGAAACTGTCATTTACTATATCTATTACCTCTAGGGAATTACTGAAATTGGTATACAGGTGTGACATTTTAGATAGCAATCGTTTCAGATAAGGTTTTAAAATCTTGCTAATAATTGCTTTGACATGAAAAAAATATTTACTTGATTTTCTATAAAATGTCTTCCCCAAGGCTGACTGAATCATTTAGCATTATTATCCAGGTAATCTTTTAAGGAAAGAAAAATCAGTAGAAAAATCTCAATTGCTCAGATCCATAATGCTATCTCAAACCCATGGATTAAGAAACTATAAGAAGTAAGAAACTATTAAGAAACGAATAAACTATTAGACCTCATAACATCTAGTTTTTCTTCAAACTTTGTACTCCAGGAGAATCTAGAACCTTTCAGTTGAAACCAGTTCATTAGCCAGAAACTAGGAATGACTGGAATAGCATCCAATACCAACACCTATGAAGCTAAATGAAGATGCTGAAAACACTGGAAGAAACATTATGCCAACAGAGGAGAGATGAATTTGCAGCTTTGTAGGCCCTTAGTTTGAGGGAATCTTTGAGTACAGGACATATATTTCTCTTTGATGTAGTTTACCTTATGAGTTTCAACTTCAGAACTTGGTAATAGTCCAGAAATGGTTGCTTGTGCTTACTAGTTCCTAATGGCTCTTTCCCCATTAATGCACTTCTTTTTTTTTTTCCCCAAAATGTCTAATTCCCACTGCACCCTGGGTAAAGGCTTCAGATATTGAATGAGGATTTTAGATCTTATGCAGAGAATCAGACAACCATTTAAACTAATGTGTGCCTGACCCTTTTATGAAAATTGAATTGATTCCTGCACACTCGTGAGCAGCTTTCTAAATCAAGCATAAATTGGCCAGTAGCAGAGAAATTTTGCATAGTTTGTCCAAAAAAAGTACCCAGATCAACAATTCCCAAGTATCTGTAATTTTCTTTCACTAGGACAATGTGCCAAAAAAGGAAATAATCTGGAATATGGCATGACACGTTATGATCTGCCAGAGTTAAGGAGAGGTATTTCATGACAACATACATCTACGACTGGATGCTAAAGTTCTCTCACTCTGCTCAGACCACATCCAATGTGTTGCAGTAACAGTGACCCTCAACAATCCAGTCTGATGTTCAGCTTTAGTTCAGTAGCCCTGCCCGTTTCCCTTCATGAAAGCAGTCATCTACTGTTACAGTGAACCTTTGCTACTTGTTCCATTTCATGGTATGTTGCTGGGGCCAACAGGGACTAAACTGAGGTGACCTAGATATTTCAGTGAAGACTTGGCAGCTAAGGGTAACAATATACAACAATAAACAACAAAGATTGAAACCTGTCACCTTGGAGAAAAGCTCCTGAACGCTATTTTCCTTCTGTCACACTGTTTCCATAGGTGGAGCTAAAATTATTGAAAGCTATGGAACTTCTACAGAATGAAATAGATTTTCCAGGGAAAGTTAAAATTGATTGCTTGTATTTACAATAATAAAAGATTCAAAATTCAGAATAACTTCAATAATTGAATTTCTACTTGTATCTCCAAAACAGTAAAAAAAACCCAACAGGTAATATTGTCATTTTTAAACAATACACATTGAATGTGAATACACATATAGATGAACACAAATATATATTATTTGTATGTATATAAATACATATATAAAAAATATTTTTTCTTTATGGCACCCTAAAATGTTAGGACTTTTTTTCTGTAAAATAAGGTGCAATTTGATGTTTTTAAAATAGTATCTATTCCATTTTCTTGGGTTTCATTGATCACTTCCTTAATTCTGCTACTAAAATTACTTGCACACAAAACATTCCTAAGCTTTTACAAAAACAAAGATTTGCTCTTTGAAGGCAAATTAAAGCAAGGTAAGAAGTCTTGATCACCAGCTTAAATCATGATACAACAATGAACAAAGTGAAAATAACACTGTCCTCCTGTGTATATCTAACCCCATTTGTGATATGCCTACAAGAGTTTTACAACATAGAAACTGGTCTGAAAGTAGTTTTTATGAAAGCTTAGAAGGAAGAATTAAATACATATTTTGCTGCTTGTACATCATTGATTTAAAACCAAGCAATTGGTTGTGATGAATAACCCAGAATAAATGGTGCAAATAGGAAGAAAATGCCTAACTTCAAGAAATGGAGCACCATAATATATATCATAAACAAGGGCACTGACACTCTTATTTTGAGAATTACAAATACATTTCTAGGGTATAGGGAGATTAAAAATATACATATATATATTATGCACACAATAAGCAAAAACCTGAAGATCTTACTGTCATTTCTGAGGGAGTTATTCAGCAGCTGGAAAAGTGGGAAGCTGTCCCAGGAGTCCTGTGGCTGTGCTTCAAGTGCTGAATCCATATCAACAGAATAAAGAGACAAAAACTTCTCTGCATGTTCAGCCAATAATTCTGGCCACCAAGAGAACGCCTGCAAATGCGACAAAACAGAATTACAAGTCATAAAGCAAAAAGATGTACTGTATAATACATTTGGATATTTCACTTCACCTCTGTCTTATTCAGAAGGGATAAAATGGCCGTGTGAAAAATGTGAAAATATTTTGGAAGTCTTTGCATCAATAATATAAGAAAGCAAATAGATTATGCTGGGAAAGACAACAGAGTCAGAACAAGATTAGAAAGCAAAGAATCAAAAGCAACCTTTCCTACCATAAGACTTGTCAAGAACTCCATTGGAAAAGGACTATAAATCCTGCAACTCCTTTTGCCAAGAGAAAGAAAAGAACAAAGGACTATATGTTATCAGATTGGTTTATTTTTCAAATAATTTCTCTATGTACATTTTGCTCTTATTTGCTCATCAGAAGGGATGGACTGAACGTGAAACATTATTCCTCAAAGTCTAGGAGTTTTTTAATAAACAGAATATTTTAACATTCCTATTTTTGTCTTAAATATATCAGCTTCTCCTGAGGAAAGCATACTGTTTCCCTTCATCAAATGTTTCTCCTGAATTTCACAAATGTTTCTATTAACTTTCAGCAACTTCAGAACTTGTTAGAAAATTGATAAAAATGAAGATTCTTAGGTAAGCTTAGCTTACAGATGAAACTTGTGAAAAGTAGTGTGTCATCAAGTAAAGCCAGCTTTACATTAAAAGCCGCCTGATATGTAACTCTTGTAACTTATAACTGTCATTTAAATCTAGGGTTTGAAACTGAATCAAAGGAATCTATATGTTAAAGATGAAGTAAGCTTATGAAATGGGATGAATACCACACACTGCTGAGAGTGTTTTGTTCAGAGAAAATACACTGATCAGAAAATACAGTGATCAGAAATGCCTACACACGCTAGATAAGAAAGTGTCTTTCAAACTAACGTTCCTCTCATGATGAATATTTTTGAGTTATCCATCTGGGATGTGTGTAGCTTAAGCTACACAAGTGTTGAGTTGCCACAGCTTCTAATAATTTCACAGAAATCATCGCTTGCATTTCTGAAATGCACATCCCAGACATGCAGAATGATCTGCTCAGTCCGGAAGGGGATCAAATAGGAGACAACCTCTACAGGTATGTTCTTGCCTCTTCAACTCCCTGATGGATTCCGATTTTCTTGATATGGGGTGGATAACTGCAGCTTAAATGCGGAAAAGATGAAGTGGCAAATGGTTTTAAAAAAATGCTCAGCAGGCTGGAAGTATTACTGAAGGACACTTGGTGTGCTGCAGTGTCAGGACTTAAGGACACTGGCATCACAGCGAAAAGAACAGATGAGGCTTCAAAAATTTTGGCAAGAGTTTGAAGTGGGTTTTTTTCTTCAAACTGGAGGAAGTTTCTCATTAGTAAATCCTGTTTAAGCGGAAGCATTATTATTACTCTAGAAAATAAACAAATGCAAAGAAATAAGGATAGAAGAAAAGTTACACATAGCCTTTATTAGGTGTCCCTTCTAGGCAAACAAAGTTCCTTCTCAAAAATATTGTCAGAAAATCAAAGCAAAAAAAGAAAACCCCAAACCTGAGCAAAACAACACATTCTTTTTCCATCTTCCTCCTCTTCGCAAATGACGCCTTGAATCAGAACAGAAATTATTCTGACCCTCTCAAGAACTACTCATCACCATGTAGGCAGCAAGTAAGAAGAACAGAATAACAAATACCACAGCTAAGATGGTTCTTCAGTCACTATGGATAATATGAAAAGGCTAAAGACAATTAGCCATTGGTGACACACATTCTATACAGCAATAGCACTGACATCATAAGAGGAAGACCAAAGAGCTGAGATTACAGAATGACACGCAAATGTAGCAACGCAACACCAGAAATCATCAGATCAATTCATGCTATACATTCAACGCACAGTTCCATGCTCTAAATGGTGAAAAATAATGAATCATTGAGTCACGTACCTCTCTTCCCTTTGGAAATCCCAGAAATTTGGAAGTGTTGTGAATAAAAAAAAATCTAGTATTACAAAATGTGATAAACTTCTAGAGAGTTTGAGAATTTTAGAGATTTCTGATCCTTTTCATCCACTGCACTGAACATTTACTTAACATTACAGTGTGAAGTCACCATACCTAATCTTCTGTTTTGAGTAGGGAATGTATGATTTTTGTGATCTTTTTCTCATGCATATTTTAAAACTGAAATTCTTCATGTTCTATAAATTTCAGTAAAATTGAACATACGCCACATGAATCAGGGAAGGGGGATATAATCCCAAAATTCCCTTTATTTCTCTCAAACTGTTTTAGATTGAAAACTTCTGCTGAACTGATTTTTCTGAAGGTACATGCAATTTATATTTGCCCTTCCAGAAAATACATCCCTGAATGCAAGTTACTAATGTGAACAGTGATTTTTGAACAGAGATGTTTAATCATACTTGTATCATTTGATTTGTTTCCTTTGTGCTCTTTTCCATAGAATTATAACATTCTTACATTAATGTAGAATTTGTCTCAAAAGATAAAGTCAACAATATATATATATTTATTAAGTAATCATTACAGAGTAGCACAGTGGCAACAGTAGTGTAAAATGGTATCTCCAGGGAATTAATTTCAAATCATTGAAACAGCTGTTTCTTCATTGTAAGATAAAATATCTCTAACAAGTTCACACATGACAGATGTAGGCTAAAAACTAGATTCGGTAGTGTGATATAAAACCAGATGTTTTGAATGATCATATTTTTAACTATATATACTAAATCATGTTTATCTTTTTGTATATTTTCCTCAAAAATATTTATTGATTTTCTGAGAACATTTTAAAAACAATTTCCTGAACCTTAGAAAACTATTCATTATGTGTTAATAATATATACAATTATGGGTACCTGGTCAAGTTTATTTTTGTAGTACCTTGATATAAAAGGTGCTGTAATTCTAAATTTTCTAAATATTATGGTTTCTTTATCAAAAAGGAAAAGACTTGATAGTAAGAAACACAAAATTATTCCGTTTTTTTTTTCTACTTAAAAATGCCATTTTGAAAAGGGCAAGTTTAAAAGCAGTACTATTCTAATCAACAGAAAAGCAACGGGAATGTGATAATTATACCCACCATAATTTTAATGTTGAAATCAAAACCTAAACAGCACGATGGATTCATGCTACCTTCAGCTACATTTTCTTCCTATTTTGAGTGACAGGTGAAAAGTTGGAAGGAACAACTGCATAAGGCTATGAATGTTTTCCATACCATTTCACAACCTCCAGCACAAAGATGTTTTCTGTATTTTATGCTCTTTAATTTTTGTTTCTATACCTACAGTTCATTCAAGCGATTCAAGTAGAGTTGTATTTCACTTCACTTTTCATAAGCTTCAAGTCCCTTATTTCTCTGTAAATGTGAACTGCCTTAAACATATGTCAGAGAGTAAAGCTAAAATGTTTCTTGACAGAATTGCTTCACATCAGGGCAGAAAAAATGTAGGAACAAACCATTCTCTACAGTTACAGCCTCACCTCTGAATGATGTTCTTCATTTTGCTGCAGTACTTCGATACAGAGCTCTGCAAGGTGAAGAACCTCTTCCAGTTTTCTAGCAGGTGTTGCTTGGCTCATGGCCTCTATATGAATACAAAAAAGCAAACTGATATTGCTTTAGTTTGAAATAAATACGTTTCTCTATAGTAAGGGAAAATGTTGTCTGAATGGAAAGTTACAATTTTCTGAAGTATAAGCAATTTCACATGTTGAGAATGATCATTTAACATATGTAAAAGCTACTGAATGCCCAAATCACTTGAAAGAGAAAACATTTATTTCACAAAAGAATCAGTGATCATTATAAACATTATCTAATTTGATATGTGAGAACTAACAGGTGTACCAATGTATTAGTGGCACAACTTCTGCAACAAGCAAGTTCTAATTCTCTTCAAGGCCAGAGATAGAAAGACAGCAGGCACTCAAGACCTTTTCTGTTATTGTACTGTTGGTACAATACATTCTCACCAGATGACTCATTACAGTCCTCAGTATTCATGCATTTTGCAGCAGTCAAAATTTTCGAATATGTTTTATCTAAGACTCTACATTTGAGGCATATTTAAAAATAAGAAAAGTGCAAAACAATGACTATATAAATAACTATTATTGAAATCATTTATCTAACTTACTACGTGCTGTTTACTTATAGAATTTAATCTATTCAGTATCATAATAAAAAATAGCACAATAAAATAAAGACGTTATAACAGAATTGACATAAGCCTACTAAAAACATATTCATAACAGAAAATAAAGACAAATGGAAAAGTTACGAATTACATTGGGAGCATTCACTCTACACAGCAGATTTCAAAAAGAAAGCAAACAACAAAGCTAAAACAAACGTAACTAAAAATCTTACAAAGCAATTTAAATCAGTTCACTTTAAAATTAAAAACAGTCACAGGACTACATTACAGGCATAGCCATGAGAGACAAGTGAAAAAGAACTGAATCTTCTACAAGTGGCTGATACATTGGTATCTGTACCATTGATGTTAATGAGTTTTAGGAAGAAACCACTGATAATAATACAGAGCGGCAAATCTGATTTCAGTATAAACAACTCATTTTTTTAAGGATCAGCCTGTCATAGATCTTACCACTAAGTAAGCAAAATAATTGCTTTTATAATTGCATCAATTTAATGAATGTAATGACATTAAGCAAGCTTTACATTATTAAAAAAAACTATATCCTAAAAAGGCTTTCTCTAAATTAGAAAATAATTCTAATAATTATATCAAATCTGATTTTCCATTGTTGTTTTGGAGTAGGTTTACTTGTTACACCTGGCATAAGCTCAATATAACCTAGAACTGATTACCGAACAGACATCATTATCATCAGAGATAGCTGGAAAGATCAGAGATTTACTAGCTAACGTTAAGATTATCCTGAACTATCCCTATGATAAGATCATGAGGAAAGAAACATGGTCTCACGGAAGTATTAATGTCATTGAGCAAGCACTGGGGAAATACAAAAAACATCTGAGCCGAAATTATGAATTTCAATTAGAAATGGCATTGAAAGGAGAAGTGGGAATGGCAACTTTTTGGTTTGTTGGTTCCTTGGTTTGTTTTAAATGCATAAGAAGTCTAATTGAACGAAAGAAGAGAGAGGGGATCAGGAGTGCTCTCACACAGGCATCGGATTGATAAACACTGTGAAAGGAGAAGACCTATTTATGGTCAAAGACGATGTTGGCATAAAAATGAATCAGTCATCACAAGTTAATCAAGCCAGAAATGGCAAGGATTCATTATGGGACTAATGTCAGGAGTAATTTTTCAACAGGATCAGTGTGTAGAGAAGAGGTCAAGAAACCTCAGTTTCCTTTTCAGGTATACATAACAAATTTCTAAATGATGTTGCATATCAGGAATGCCCAAAAATGTGGGAGAAATTAAGCTCCCTGAATTATAAGTCTCACATTTGCATGAAATTCTCAGTGTATTTTTGAAACTATCTTCTACTTGCTAAAAACATGCAAATTACTCTTGATGCTTTATACAGCTTTCAGTATTTTTAAAAATAATTATATTTCAATCATCAAATTTAGTTAGGAATGCTGTAGATAATTGCCTTCATTCTGTATCCTTGGAAAAATCTCTCTTATTTTTTTGTTTACTATTTCACATAGTAAATTGATATAGGCAATCTTGCTTGCATTGTATTTACTTCTCCACATTCCAGTTGGGCTTCATCTAAAGCTTTTTTTTTCCATCTGTTACAAAGTTACAAAGTACACCAGTCAGTCTTTTTCTCTAACTAATGACTTCTGTCTTTCCAAAATCTAGCGAGTATGGGTTGACAGACAAAATTATCATCATTTGCACGGGTGTATAAGCAAGTGGCTGTTAACGCATTTTGAAGAAAAAGTATGAAATATTAACTTTTTTTTTATATTAAATACTGTGCTTGTCTTTATAAGTGTTAAAAAAAAAAAAAAGTATAAGAGGAATGGAAATCAGTTGTGTCAGTTTTTATTATATTTATAATGTCTTTCTCTCCACAATTACTAAGGGTTGCTGAGATGTGTTTACACTGCTCAGACTAACAAGTTGCTGCAGGAGTCAAGACAGTAAATATGCTGCTTGACATCTTTTAGAAAATAAACAGAAAAAGCCATCCATCATCTGTTTTCAGCTTCACATTCTGTCAAAATGAAAAAGCAAGACAGGGTCTGCAAATAATGGATGCTTTCTCAAGTACACCCTATCAGTGAGTCACACATGTACCAAGAAAATATTGTTAAATGAGCTAAGTTAACTGACTAAAAACTATTGAAATGAAAAGGTGAGTGCTTTATGGATGGATGGAGATCAAGGCAAGAACGGACTGTCAGATCTTCTGCTTGGAGCTCCTGTTTTATACAGGTCAAAGAACTTCTCCCAGTACCTACTTTACTGGACCCAAAACCATCAGCTTGTCTAACACCTAACTTATACTTGCTTTCCAGAAAAGACTGTATCTTTTCAGACAAATGTGAAACTCATTTCTTTGCTTATTCTCCAACCCCTGCACATAACCACCATCACTATTAAATGCATGTGTTTAATTTCTCATGAACATTTTCTTGGCCTTTGGCCCTTTGGTCTTCTATGCCTTACTCTACCAAGTGAAGGGATACTTCCCTTCCTGTTTGTTTTTTCTTCTGTGAAGGTATTCTGTGCTCTGAAATAAGTCAGTTTTCTTTAAGGATCGAAACTGACAAGACTCCTTCAACTATACCCTTTCATCAGCCTTAAAAATATTTTTATCTCTGTGTTATAACGTGACTAGAGGATGACTCAAATACTGAGCTCTGCCAGATGTCCTCACAACCTCACACATGCTGCCCTGTTCTGCCACATCTAGATACTGGGATGTCCTGAAAACCTGCTTGTCTGCTTTTACCCAAATCCACTGCAGAGTGAATGTATACCAGAAACAATATTCGGTATGTCACGCATTCCTCTATATGCTAGGGTTAAGACTTAAGCTTACCAAACAGCAACATTTTGCTGTCATTAATTTCCAGAGGACTTTTGCATCATCTGTACAAACTTAAGCAAAGATTTTACATCTCTTCCCAACCAAGGATGAAAATATGAAATATCCAGAGTAAGCAACTTCCTAGAACTCTGATGATATGGCAGTAACGTCTACTTTCTGAGGTCTCTCAATTAACCTCTTCTTAATGCCTACTTAAGCGAATTTGGTGAGTGCTATTGCTTTTGTAAATGACTGTTAGACGTTAGTAAATTTTATGCCTTATAAAGCTTCATCCATTCCAAGTGTTCTTCCTTAGCTGTTGAGCCAAGAGCCATGACAAATAATCAGTCTGAACAACTGAGCTGTACCAGCAGAACCGCTATGACACTGATCATCAGGATGGGAGCCAACTCTGTCAGTAGGGCGAGCTAATTCAGACTTTTCAATACTGCCTGTAACAAAAACAGTACAAATGTCAATAAACTGGAGCTAATATATGCTACTAGACCTGAGCTGACTCCAGAGTTAATCTGCAACTGGGATAATCCATCTACAGATAATTTCAATGTGACCATGATGGATTTTCTTGCAAATTCTCACAAAATTAATTCTGCAGTGAAAAAGTAGAGCGGACATCTGGGAGGACAGGCTATATTCTTCTGATTAAAAGAAAAAATAATCTAGCCTTATACAAATAATGGAATTTAGCTTTAATTGTGAAGCTGAAACTAGTTTTTCCATATCTGAGAATTAAATAGGATTTTAACTTCTCGAGACAAAACAGTTTTAAAAAATAATTAATATTACCCGTGGCGTGTACAGAAAGATTATGAGATTTACAGAAAGTTAGAATTTACATCTCCTACTTTATAACCTATTATTTTATAAAGTGGGTGACGTTGCAGTGTCTCTACCCTTTTTCAAATCTATTGTAGTATTCAATGGAATTACTGTCATGGGATAATTGCAGATTTCTTTTTGGAAAAGGGAATCTATTGACTCTTGTGAAGCTGGAAAAAACTGAAACATGAAATCTGAAGAGGTAAAAGCAAAATAAAAAATGCCAGGATGAAAAGAAATCTGATTTTTCAATTCATGATCTAACTTAGGATGCTTTGTATTCTGGTTTTCACAACATAGAAACTAGCACTTTCTTCCCGTCCTTGCTTATAACTTGTAACTTTTCTATAACTTTCTATAAAGAACTAACGTTCTCAGCACTTTTTGTTCTTGTTGTTTTCGTTGTTTTGTTGTGTGGCTTAAAACTCAGAGATAACAAACGTGAGAACTTAAGAGCTCCATGAATGAAGGGAGCTGAATAGTTGACATCCCAGTACGAGAAAGAACTGGTGATTGAAAATGCAGACCTAGATTTCATAAATCTAATAAATTTTAGAGTCTAAACTTTATAAAGTTAGTGAAAGATGTCAATAGCAAATCTAATGCCTGCAGGTAAAGAGGCAGGAAAAGTGATGCTGTCAGTTAACTCTGAAACAAATTTTGACAAAATTAGTACTTGAGGACATAGAATAAAGTGTAACAAATTTGCAAATGTAGTTTGTGCTAGATTCATGCAGAAGCTATGCCTGATAGGATA